CCCCCCCCCCCAAGACCACAATGACCAGACACGAAACAAAGTACACACTGAAAAATAAAGGAATTTAAACACATCCTGGTTCAAGTAAATTTCTTTAATCCCGCACTTCATATAGTGTACATATATACAATAAGTACAACAGTGAACACAATCACTCTCACAAACACCACTGCTACTGCTACCTCATGAGTTCCATTCATCCCCACACTGAATTTGACAGCATTGAACTCACATCAATGACTTTCGAGCTAATGCAGCATCCCCCCCCCCGACAGGGAAAGGAAATCTACATGCCGATGGATTTTTCAGCACAGCTCGATCTCAATCCAAAGTATATACATGTTCTGTATGATAGCCGCACTTTATCACAAAAATAACACATACTCTACCCGGTACATGAAAATCTGGATCAAACAGCCAGGATAGACAACGGGAGAACAACAGCAAATGAAAATCAGTATCAGCAAATCCCCAACAGCAAAATGCAACCTCAACACTTATTGGGGGCATCCTAGCCCCATGGCGAAGGGTTCAGTTCCAAGCATGGTCCTATTAAAAAACAGTGTAAGTTTACCATATATTTTTCTTCAGATTACCCTACTGAAATCACTGTATGTTCAGAGTGGGGACAGAGATAATACTGCAGAATTAAGGGAATGGCCAAGGGAGTTATTCAGCAGGAGTAGCCTACAAGTTCAGCATCTCAAAATAATCCCTCACACATCTCGCACAGCACAACTTGTGCTGTTACTTTTTACAAGAAAGAATCACACGATAGCACATGAACACAATTTATTGCACAACCACTGTGTTGCCTCAAGCATCTCCAATTCTGCACACAGAAATATGTCAGAGACATTTTCTGTTTCAAATGCTAGTGTTTCCAGCAGGGGTTCTGGGAAGTTGTGCTGTGTCATCAACCTGAGCTGCCATTGCACGTAAATATGAAAGTAAAGGAACAAAGGAGGTGAGTAGATCCCCATCGCACATACCAAGACAAAATCCACCACCTCTCAGGTGATCCCATCACAGGTCACACGCCACCTCGACATCACCTCGACACTCTAGCATTTTTTTGACTAAGTCGTTGACTGCGTCTGTACAGTGCTGCTTGCCTCTTCTGTTCAATTTCCTGGGGAGAGCATGTGACTGGGGGGCTGGCACTCACACTGGCAACTTCGGTACCTTGAGGTTTTTGCACTTGGCTGGCAGCCAGGGCCTCCGCTGTGACAGACAAGATCAAAACTATGAGTATGGTATCTTATAGTCTCTAGACATAGTGAGAAACTCAGACCATCTTTAGACATACATGCAAATTTCTGACAAGACAAGGAGCTGCACTATTGGGCAGGACATGGAAATTGGGTAAAGGTGAGACAGATGTAAGATGCGAGACAAATAGGACACAATGTTTAGATGATTATTGTAGTAGTTTACAATGAGTTGGTATATATAGCATATATATTTATATATGTAGGACCTAATTGCATGGCTAGGAGCCAATTCTGTGGCTCATTTATCTACACAAAGAGGCTGAATGAAATGCACCGTGTGGCACCATTGCCAGTTTCAAGTCACTTGGAAAAAAAACAAAACATCACACTTCCTTGCCAATTCTGTGCCAGAGATTGCCGAAGATAGCAATGCACAACTGCGCACTATTGAGCGCTGACGTTGAAATCCAGACATTGACTTTGGTTCAGAATGTTTTGTACGCAAATGTTTAGAGTAGAGTACGTGAGCCATACCGCGGCTGGTGTACATCCATGGCCATAAGTTATGGCATAAGGTGTTTCTCCAAATTAAAAGAGTCAAGTTAAACAACTCTTCAGTCAAGAGTTAGTGAAACTTTCCAACAGTGACTTCCCTTTAGTTTGACTTCTTTATCTTGTTTTGTCGGCAGGAAGCGGAGGGTCAAATATCATGCACTCTGGTGATATCAGTTTTATTTTATAAGTAAAGCGGAGGGTCAAATATCATGCACTCTGGTGATATCAATTTTATTTTATAAGTTAAGTTCACCCTTCAGTCTTTTTTGGTCAACAAGAGAATAATACCTTACTGCCTGTAACATAAAACGCATCTAGATTAAACCTGCATTGTTTGTAATGCTCTAAATTGTTGCAAGATAGCACGCGGGGTGGAACTACGGGGGTGGCCGCGTAAAGAAGTATTGAATCTTACATTGTTTATGTCCGCGACCGCGCTCTCTGTCTGTCTGTCTGGGCACTCTTGTACAATTGCGGTCCCGTTTGTTTACATGACAGTCATTGTGGGAGTGAATGTTGATCTAGATCTAACGAGATCTCTAGATTCTAGATAGCTTAGATAATCTATCTCTAGATATAGATATAGATCTAGATCTAGATTAGGTATAATTTTAATTCAGTTTAGATCAAAATAAGAAACACATAAAAATTACTACAGGGGCACTTAGGCCTAGAATCTAGTGAGAGTTAGTGCAAACGGGACCACAATTACAGGAGTGCCTCTGTCTGTCTGTCCCCCCCCCCACCCCTCCCCCATCTCTGTGTCTCTCTCTGGGACAGCAATAGATCTACATTCTTTCACTGCATTAACAAAACATGAATTCAAACACCTGCTGTTGGGATTCAGATGAGCTTTATTTCACTCCAAAGCAAATGATAGTCTACTAATAAATAATTTCACTATAAAAAAAGAAGCGATGGCCGCGCCTGCAAAAACGAACGGCCGTGGTCAGAAAGCATAGGCTGAAGTTGGTGTATACATTGGCTGCAGACAGAAGATGGAGTGGCGCTAACGTGCTATTTTGTGACACACTGTAAATCTCGTAATGGCGCACAAATGTACCTTAGCCACACTAATGCGTCTCGCCTCTGCCAGTCAGAAGCGTTGTATCGTCTATACTACCAACTTTATAGAGTGTTTTATAGTAAGTGGCCGCGCTTAGTGTACATACTCTTTTTCTTTTATGATGAGATGGAGGATGCTATGTTTTTTCATTCGCTCATTCTTGATACTACTGATGGGACAGAAGAGGCCTCCTAATCCATTTGGGTTTTATTCTACTTCCATACATTTATGTTCTCGGAGATAGTTTACTTACTAATGCTATGGTGAACAAAGAAGGAGAAACGTGACACACAACTGGCATGACGAAACAGGATGGTGCAAGCAAATTTGCCACACAAGTGGCAAGTTGACATGCAATTGGCTCCTATATATATTTGTCCAAAAAAAACCCCAACATTTTTTTTTAATTTTAGAAAAAAAAAAGAAATTACCCTGGCAGCCACTCACAATTAAAAATGAAAACCCTCAGCAAGTGTCAGATCACGAGTTTTTGGGTGTTACGATAGACAACAAACTTGTCCACCATGCCCAAACTTCTCTCTTGCATAAAAAGTGAACAAAGGACTTTTTTGTTGTTGAGGAAACCTATGTACAGGGTGATCCAAAAAAAACTTACAACTTTTTTTGTTAATATTTTCCTCTGCAATGAAGTTTAGCTGTTCAAATTTGGACACAACATTTGGAAGTCAAAAGAAATTTTTTTAAATATTAATTTTAGATAAATCTACAGAAAAATTTTGCTCTACATAGCGAGTAAAAAAACAACCCATTTTCAGCTATGTCCCCATTTTTGTAACATGATGCACTATTTCGCATTAGGCCAACCACTAAAAATCCTAACAATTGCGCCAGGTTGCAAGCTACAGTAGTCTAACAGGCCAACAAAAGTTTGCATATAGTCTTTCTCAAGTTTCCTTTGCCTGCTGAGATCATGGTTAAGATTAGTGAAGAGCAGAGAGCTTTTTGTATCGAATATTTCCTCAACACCAACTCATTTTGTAAGTTTCGTACAAGGCACGGAAATAATGTTAGAGTGCCCTTAAGGCCTTCTTTGATGTCAAGGATGAAAATGGTCCATCAGGTTAGTACCTGTAGAGAATCCGAACTAAAAATTCCCAAACACAACGGCCATTTCAGTTCAAACACACACCGTTCGCAGCCTTTTACACGTCACCAGGGAGCAGAATTCAGTAGATGAGCCCCATGAGACGTCTGTCCGTAGACGATGTCTGCACGAACGATTTTCCTACATCTCAATGGTCTGCATTCTCAAGGCAGATCTTCATCTACGACTGTCTCATTTTCCCGTTCGCGAAGCTATCAGAGGATAGCAATGTGTTCATGATTCCTCGATCGTCTTGAAAAGCGTTTCTTCCTTGACATTTGGTTCCTTTGCAAAGCCCATATTCATCTTTCAAGTTATATATCAACTCTACAAATGCTGTATATTTGGGCAACTTCACCCCCTCCCCTATTGTCTCTAGAAACAGCTCCATACTGTTAGGTGTACGGTGTGTGTGGCTTGAGTACTCATGGTTGAGTGGATCCTTTTGTTTGGCCTCCACTGAACATTATGAACGACGCGTTAAAATGTGTCAAGTCCAAAGGAGGACATGTAGACCATTGGTTCTCGAAATTCCAGAACTTAAAAAAATTGGTGCATTTTGCATTTTTAGGTGGTTTTTATAAAAGCCATTTCCGTTTTTCAAAATAAGTTTCTTTTTTGTTAAGTTTATGTCAAACAAATTCTTTTTGAATGAATTATATCAGTTCCAAATTACAACATTCTTCTACAAATTTTGTGCAAGATATTCAGAAAAAAAGTTGTAAAGTTTTTTTTGGATCACCCTGTATTTTAAAGTTGATAAATCACTGCTATCAATCAACCAGAGAAAATCTGATCAATTCCTGTCTGACAGTATGGGCTGGAAATGTCAAGATATAGTAAACCTGAATCAATTTATACAGAAAGCATGCAAAATTTCAACATCTACATTCCCATATTTTGATGAATAATATTACTTGCACTAAAAAATCAATGACATCTTTTTGGACAACCAACATCCCTTGTTCCATCAAATTCAAATATCAGTAAGAAGTAAAAGATCTATACACCTGATTTGTATCACAGAAAGCTACAGATGATCATTTTTATCACTGTCCAGTGAACTTCTACCATCTTGATTATCTTGTAATGTAAGTCTTCCTTTGACCTACATTAAAGCATGTATTATCAGAATACCATCAGGTTACTATCAGAATACTGATTATGCATCTTGCTTAAACAATATTATTGTTAACAATAATAGATCCTCTATATTATTTTAATACATGTGACTGTAGTTCTGTTTGTGAGTGCAAGCATATAATGATGCGCCTCTGTGTACAAATGTGTGCGGAGGAGAGGATGTGTAAGAGAGCGTGTATATGGGTGTGCATGCACATGTGCGTGTGTATTTGTGAGAGTGTGAGGTGAAACACAAAACCAATGTGCCAGCACCTGGACAATAAGGATTTATCTATCATTCTATCTTATCTTATGATTCTGACCTCACTTTACTGAGAACAGCCAAAAACAAGAGTAACATTGACAAGACAAGTAATAAACCAAACTGACAGGCAAGGTTAAGGGGGGACAGAAAGGGAGTGGAAGAGAGGGGGGGAGAGAGAGAAAGAGAGAGAGAGAGAGAGAGAGAGAGAGAGAGAGAGAGAGAGAGAGAGAGAGAACTGCACTATAAATTTAAATTCCCTTTTATCTTTAACAAACTCCCACCTTGCCTATCTTAACTCTTTTTATCCTAGCCGTACCCCCACGAACTCTGTACCAGTCCTGGGGCCGCCGCGCCGTATGAGTCGGAAGTCAGTGCGTATAGTTCAAAGTGCTGTATTTCTTACATTTACTCTAAGATTTTAAGGAAATTTGGCATTTATGTTAGAAATTGAATGTAGTTTTTATAAATGTATGTGGTTAGGAATTACACCAATGTTGATTTTGAGGTGTATTCTACCCTCGAACTTGACCCTGATTGCCGCGCCCACGACGTCCCATTGGATTTTATAGATCTAGATCTAGCCCTACCCATCGAGCACGAATTCCAGTACAGACCCCTTCACCATCATCTGAATCGCTATTAGATGAGTCTAAGTCCTGTTTCTTATCATCCACAACGGAATTTACAGCACTTATTTCAGAGTCTTTTTCATCAAATTAGTACCATTTCCCCTCACAACCCAGCGCCACTTCAAAAAGTACTTCGTTGGTCGTGAATGTGCGTTTTCGAGACATCTTTCAAGCTTCTACACACATAAAAAAACAAACAAAAACACTGTTCATTGGAAAATTAAAATATTCAGACAGAGCTAGCATCGCCGTATTTGCGTATTTTGGTAATTACAAGCAGAACTAGCTTCTTTGACGTGACCGTATCGCTGTTCTGAGAATACTTGTAGCCCGGACTGGCCTTCGTTACGAGTATACTCGTAGCCCGGATAAAAAGAGTTAAGAGCTTTCAAATGGCTGCAAGATGGAACTACTCAGCAAATACAAACATAAACACAACCACAAACTTTACAGTCACAAAGCATACTGCAGAGGCACTACAAGGGTCTTTTAACCAACACTTACATTCAGCCTTTTCCAACATTGGCAAAATCTGAGACTCAAAAAGTGCTTGATCATTCATAAAACTGTCGTCAAACAGAGCGTCCTCTGCAGACTCTGAAATACAAAACAACATCATGTTAACTGGAGTTCCTTCATTGTCATAGAGCACACAAGTGAAAATCATGCAAACAAAGAACCCAGACACAAAAACAAAAGGTTGTCTGTTATTTAACCGAGAACCACCGGCAGCCGCAACTCTGCTAGTCAGTGAATAGGGCTTTGTTGGGTCCTCGGCAGTTTCTGAGATTTCCCGCAGATTTTAAGGAAGAAATGTTGAAATTGTAATTTTTTTCCCCAGTGAATGTTATATCTTTTTCAAATAGCTTTCCAAGTATATATAGTCCTCTGGTCTTTGTATCTATCATATGTGCTAAAGGTACATCCTTGTTCCTAAGACATTACTCTGACAAGTACAAGTTTACCACTGACAGTAACATGGTTAAGGGAGACAAAATAGGTGAATATTGTTTGTTATCACCACATTGAAATATAGCAAGATAGAAAACATCTAAAAGAAATATCTTAGGCATAATTTAAGTCAAATATGAGCTCTCTGTGTGAAACATCGAAAAAGATAGAATTCTAAAAAATAATTGAGAGGTATCATGGTGAAATCAGGCACCAGTAAAAACAACAAAGTCAAAGAAAACAGCATTTTCCGCTTGTTGGCAATTTTTATTGAACGTTTCTTTTTTGACCTTTTATGTCCATATTTAATAACACATTTCTATGTAGATTTTACTGAAAATGTCAATTTATACCCACTTAATAAATTAAGATAAGATAAAATCTTTATTATCCAAATGCTGGCACAAAGGTTTAGAATTTCACCGAACACACACCGCACTGACTTGGACAGACACTTTACCCTGAACCAGTACCACTTGGGCTGTTTTTCCTACACTTCACCAGTTTTACCTTGGCTGTCACTCTACTATTAACTAGTACTGTTTAGGATGTTCTTCTACACTTCCCTAGAACCAACTCAGCCATCACTCTACACTATTAGTTTATTACTACATATCCAAATGCAACACATAAGGAACCAACCTGAAGCACTGTGAGCAGTTTGGTTTGTCTCCTTGCGGCCAGCATGAGTGGCTTCCGTTCCTTTGGCTAGTTTGACTGGAGTGCTAGAGCTGGGCCCGCATGGAGAGCTGTGTTTGCCAACCCTCATAGCTAAAGGGCTGCCCTGGACACCTAAAGTTCTCTTGAAAAATGCCCGCATTGGAGACGCTGCTCCAACAGTCCCCGCAGCTTGCAGCTCTTGTCGCAATGGTTTCACAGGGGAGATAAAGACTTCTTCTTTACCCGCATCCAAGGCAGAGGTCCACAGTGGCTTCTGTTGTTCTCGTAACAATTTTTCACCTCCAGTCTTTTTCTGGGCACCGTTGGTTTGCAGATAAATACTCTTGCTCTGATTGGTGGGCTGGGCTCTGAAGGAAGGAGCGAGGACGTCTTCTTGACTGTCCAAGATCTCATCAGGCTCTGTGAGCTGAAGCAAAATCTCGTCTGGGAGACTCAGGTCAAAAAAATCTGTGTCCTTGTCAGTGGCACCCTGACCAGATGTGTTGCTACATTGGTGAGATTTGTTGGAACTTTGACATGTTGAATCTGTACACTGATTGGATGTTTCTGAGCCTGATATGGGCTTGTGGAAGACAGTTGACCTCTGAGTTTGGACTGATCCAAGTTTCTGACCACCCCTGGCATGCTCAAAGCTGAGAGATGTACGGGATGAGCAATCACTCTCAGTTTTTGATACATGTCCTGACAAGACAGACGGGCGAGCTGGTGGATTCAGGACAGCAACCCTTTGAAGCCCACATTGACCTGGACCTGAACCCTTACAACCCGCACTTTGAGGAGATGTCCCCCGAGGGGCAGACTGGCTGTTGAGAAAGTTATTGACACTAGAGGAAAACTTGTTGTTGTACCCATTACCTTTGGCTCCATTTGTTACAGCATTTGAATGTCTAGGAGAAGTTCTTTCCTTTTTCGAATTTAAACTTGTGGAGTTTTTTTTCCCAAAGGAAGATGACTGTATGGGAGCACTCCCCTGGATATTACTCTTGTTTGATGGAAACTGCAGTCTGTTAACGGGCATTTTGGAATTCATTCCAGTCAATGTTGAGGAATTTTTCGTGGTGAACTGATGACCATGGCCATGCCTTTCTACATAGGATGAAGGAATCACAGAGGAATCATTCAAGTTTGTCACAAGCGAGTTACTGGTAGGCCTGCTGCTAGGTGCTCTTGTGCAAGAATTAGTTAATGGAGAATTTGTTCTTATAAACGAATTAGCAGTGGAAGAAATAGTTTTTGTCGAATAACTAGCTAAAGAAGAATTTGTCTTTATCAAAGACCTAGCTGATGAAAAATTTGTTCTTGTTGAAGAATTTGTTTTTGTGGAAGGATTAGCCAATGAAGAACATGGTCTTGTGGAAGAGTTAGCTCCTAAAGAATTCGTTGTTGAGGAAAAACTAGCCACTGAGGCAGACAAGCTTGTGGTTCCAGATCTACCAGCAGTGACAGCCACTTTGTCAGAGTCACAGCCAGGGACAACTGGTACTGTGTCTGTAGTAATGCCACATGGTGGCTTGCCTGCCTGGCAGAATTTGTCCGGGTTCTGAGTGAGTTCAAGAAGGAGAGAGTTGTCCTGGAAGAGGTCATCATCAGACCAGCAATCATCCTCTTGAGCAGCAGGGTCAGACTGTCCAAGACACGAGGGGGCGGCACTATGGGAGGATGACTTTTCCTCAGACGTCTCCCCGACTGGAACAGACACACTGGGAAAAGAAAGAGGAAAGATGAGGAAAATAAATTTTTTAAAGGGAAGAAGGAGCAAACCACACCAGAGCACATGCCAACTTTTTCTTTTCTTTTTTTTTCAGTAAGTGTTTAACGGCACTTGCAACACAATAAGGTCATATAAGTGCCGAAGATTAGAGGTGTTACAAGAGAGTAACAAACACACAAAAGGAGGAGAGATAAGGACGATAGATGTTTAGATACTTATAGTTTCAGATATATAACATTTATATCAAGAGAGAGAGAATGGGGGGAACTACATTGAAACAGAGACAAAAAACAGAACCATATTGTGTGTCAGAGTCAATGTAAGGGAGTACGCTTTGCATGTCATCAACGTTGCAGAAAACTGATAACACAAAACAAGTTAATTAGCTAAATTTTAATTTTAATTTTATTTATTGTAGAGGGTTTTACGGCGCTCGCAACTGCATAAGGTCATCTGAGCGCCAAGGGGTGGGTGTCAACAGAGAAGTCCTCACAGGGAATCAGACTTCCACTGCTTACCTTTCTAGCTTCAACAGCACAAGGTCTGCTTCGACCATCAAGGCATCCCGGAAATAGCAGGTCACAAGAGTGACAAACATACAAAAGAAGTAGAGGAAAATGACAATAGTAAGAATTAGGAAAGAAAAAACAGCAGTTCCCTGTTGCAGATCAGGCACAGTTATGAGCGTGACATGATGAATCAGCCCATTTACAATTCTACTGTGCTTGAACGAGAAATGTCCCCCCTTTGGGAATGGCCTAAAGACACTACAGTCAGTGGCACTGCCCTGAGAGGGTAATTAGCTAAAACCAATTAAATTAATACTTTGACTCAAAAGATAAATGAGAGAAAGAAATTTGTGATGACATTATAATCAAGCAAAAATAACAGGGAAAGAGCTGTGAGCATTGAAATAGACACAGTAAACACACACACACAAACAAACTCATAAACAGCGTGGACTGGCTACACATATAAGGCTACTGGACTTATACAGTGGAAACCATATATAACAGGCCCGGTAATAACAGGGATCCGGTAATAACAGGGATTTTTAAAATCCCCGTTTTTTCCTACTCTTTGTCTCTATTAAAAGTTACCGGCAATAACAGGGCCTCATCACAGCCCAACCGGTTATAGCAGGGACAAAGGCTTGTTACAATGTGTAAAAAGTAAGAGAGAGAGGGGGGGGGGGGAGTGAGAGAGAGAGAGAGAGAGAGAGAGAGAGAGAGAGTAACACAGTGATGGAGCAAGCCCATGCAAGCTATGCCACTGCAAGCACACACAGCGTGTGAAGCGAGAGAGGGCTGCGGTGTGCTGTAGACCTCGATCTAGCCCGAAATATAGATCTAGCAACACACACGCGTAATGTGTCACCAACGATGTCAAGCGCAGGAGAAAAAGCCTTTCAATGGACAAAAAATACGAAATAATCCAGGCTGTTGACAAAAAGCAAGCTCCACTGGCAGAGATTTGTCGTCAGTTCGACATTCCATAAGGGTCTTCTTCTTCTCGATCGCATCACACTTGAAGTCCGGTATCTGTCATAAATTGGGCCGTCCTGCTCAGTTCATCTGGCGGCCCGTATAGCTTCTCTTGTAGCGTCAGTGGGGTTGGCCACGTTTCCTGTCTCAGGGCCCTGTGTGTCTTGCAGTGCTGAAGGATGTGTTCAACAGTTTGGTCCGCCTCTCCACACTGGCATTTTGGTGATTGTACTAGTTTAAAACATTTGTACATATGTTGTCTCAGTCTTGTGTGTTGTGTCCTTAGTCTGAAGATAATCACTTGTTCTTGGCGGGACAGCTCATGGTAGCCATCTGGTGTCTGAGGTGCTTTAAATAGTTTATTTATAATAGTTTTTATTTCTGTGTAGTTAACGCTGTTGTCTGGTTGCTCTTTTTGTGCTCCTAGTTTGGCCATCCTGTCTGCCTGCTCATTTCCCAAGACACCACAGTGTGATGGAATCCACTGTAGCATGATCCTCAGACATGGGATGTCCTCAATTTCTTTTCGTAGCCTTGGTAGTTTGCCGGAAGTGATTGCCTGCAGTACTGACATGGCAAGGGTCGATTCACACCATTATCAAGGATAGAGAGAAGATAGTGGCAGCATACTCCAATGGAAAGTTTGCTCTTGATCGAAAGAAGATGAGACTACCCGATGCAGGTGCTGTGGACCAAGCTCTTCTGATGTGAGGCAATGGAGAAAGTTAGTGCCGAAACCCTTGTTCGTGGGTACTTGTGGCAAAGGAAACTAGATCCACCCATGAATAAGTACAGCTGGATTAGTCCATAAATGCTCACTTTCATTGCATTTCTGATTTAACAGGGATCAGATATAACAGGACATTTTCTCTACTCCCACTATCCCTGTTATATCAGGTTTCCACTGTAATCATTAGGTAGCGGGTTTGAGGTTGGAGCCTCAAACCCAACTGTGTCCTTGCGAAAGGCACTTTACACGAACTTTCCTCACTTCATCCAGGTGGGAATGGGTACTCAGCAATAGACAGCGAAAGATCTAGTCATTATGGTAGTGTTTTAGCGCCTATAAAAAGGCAGCAAACACTGTATGCTTCCCAGGAAGTTGAGATTGTTTCAAAATGCAGTCAAGTTTGCAGGGGTAATATTATAGATTGTAAAGCACATAGAGCTTGCTGTTCAGCAGGAATTTATGCACTATACCAATGCTATGTGTATATATCATAGCTGCCACTCAGGAATTTCAAAAAAGGAGGAAATTCACGCGAAGGCGGACGCACACTCTCCAAAGGCCGGAGTAAAACCAGTGAGATCCAGAGGTAATATATTGGAACATCTATGTTTTTGGAAGGGAAAACTGTCATATTTGTTAACCATAGGCAACTGAATTAAACTGTATTTGAAATATAACCCCCCCCCCAAAAAAAAACCCAAGACACAAAGCTGACCCACAAGAATTTGACTAGGTTTGGTGACTAAAAATCCAGTGTATGTTGCTAGCTAGTGTCTCGTACAAATATTTCTTTCACTTTAGACTTGTGCAGCAATGTAGAGCAGTGGATCTACATGTATTGGATTAGGAGAAATCTTTGTCTAGATCTAGATTTCTAGATTCACGAGATTTCTTTATATCGCACCAAACGCAAAGTGCAGCACCCGGCTTGTTCAATCTTCTTATGAACTTTTGAAGTCGCACACCGTCTGCTCCTTTTTCAACACGGCTCCATTTATTTTTGCATTCTGCATCAATTTCTCTAGAATTTCCGCCGTTTTCAATGACAACTCGGCACCCCATTGTCCAGATGCTCGATCGACACTGTACAATGTGAAACTAGAGCTAGGCAGGGACAGAACAGAAGTAAGAAGAGATACGGGTGAACATGCGCAAGGCGCGTTTTCGTCTCACTCCCGGTTAGGAGCTTTCCGCAAGTTTAAAAAAGTATCGCAATTTGCGGCCAACAGAGGAGGAAGGAGGAAAGTAGTGGGAAAAGCTAGATGAAGCGGAGTTTCTGCTATTTAGCGGAAAAGTGGCAGCTATGATATATTATCATTATTAAGACAAACCCAAAACTAAGGGTGGCACAGAGTATCAGACACACACAAAACAAGCTGCAACATAGCAGAAGCCCACAAAGGGCAACATACATAAGAGAAACATGTTATAAGCCAACTAAACATCACAGACAGACAACAAAGCTCGGTGACACCTGTCAACAAACACATGAAACACAGACTGCTACAAGCATCAAAATGGCACACACAGCATGGGCCAACTAGGTATAAACGTGACACACAACATTTTCTGGCTACAGAAATTTGACAGTATGGATGGTGCCCAGACCCCCCCCCCCCCCCCGATCACATTAGTAATTCAAAATGGCAGGTATGACTGCCCCCCCCCCCCTTCTAACTTGGCAGATGGCGTATCCCACTGATCCTACAGACCAAGGATTATCAAGGCTTACCTCTTCTCTTCCTCCTCAGCAGCTGAAAATTAACATAAGAAAATGATGAGTTGGGCGCAGAAAAGCTGAATAAAGAGGAGTGTAAGAAATTAAGACATTTAAAATCACAAAGATGATCAATGTCCATAAAAAGGCAAGAAATGAAAGGAAACAGGTCAGAGTCTCGCAGTCAGTACCACGCTTATGAGAGTCCAAATAATGCCACCAGTTTACAAACAATAAATGAGTTGTTTTTAAAAATCATAGTGCCTCATAACTAAAAATAGTAGCAGCATGTGTCAGATTATATCACCCTGTGTCTTCAAAGGTCTTGAGCTTAACTCCGTGACTGCTAACCATATAAATGCATCTCACATGGTAAGGAAAATTCTATCGTGCAGAATATGTCACATGTCACAATCTTTAATCGATGTTTATTCAGTTGTTATAAGAGACAAATCGGTAAAAACCCAACATCAATAGAAAGAGATGAATTCATCCATTAACAAGACCATTGTAGAACAAGCCATAACAATGTAAGCAACATAAAAGTACAGCAATCTGATTGTATGAACTGGCTCTGTCTCGCAAGATGTGCTTAAGAAAGACAACACACTTCGCTTTGTTTCATTAATAACAAAGCCCGTACTTCCCGTCAAACTATCTATATGTGTGACAACGCAGTGAAATTAAGCGCTTGTCAATTTTTAGGTATGTGGAGTTATAAGTATCATCTCAAAGCTTATTCATTTGTTTTGCTTTCAATGAAAAAAAATACCTATTTATCTTGAATAGAAGTCAAAATATTTGCGATTGAATGAGGAGAGGTCCCCTGGTTTCAGTGCTGAAATTAGCCAAAAAATGGCCGCCGTCATAGCTGCCTCTCAGGAATGATAAAAAATGAGGAAATTCACACGAAGGCGTACATGCGCTCTCTGAAGGCCGGAGTAAAACCAGTGAGATCCAGAAGCATGCTCTTGGAACATCTATGTTTTTGGAAGCGAAAAGTGTCATACAGATTTGTTAACAATACTGAATTAAAATCGATTAAGGAGGCAACACCTAAGCCACTGTACCAGATTTCTTTATCGCACCAAATGCAAAGTGCAGCACCCAGTAGGTTAAATTTTCGAACGAACTGTTGAAGTCGCACACTGTCTGCTTCTTTCTCAATCGAGCTCCAGTTCCATTTATTTTTGCATTCTGCATCAATCTCTCTTGAATTTCCGCCGTTTTCAATGACAACTCGGTGCGCCGTCATCCCGATGCTCGATCGACATTATCCCTCCACAATAAACAAAGTGAAACTTTAGTGCCAGGCACAGAATGGAAGTAGGAAGCTACGGGCGGAAATGCGCTAGCCGCGTTTTAGTCTCACTCCCGGTTTGGTGTTTTCTCGCGTGTAAAAAAAGTATTGCAATTTGCTACCTACAGTGGCCCAGCGGAAGGAGGAGGAAAGTAGCAGGTAAAGCTAGAAGCAATAAAGGTAGTGGAGTTTCCGCTATTTAGCAGAAAAGTAGCAGCTATGTTTGGTCACTCCAATAGCCATAGAGTCAACTGAAATATGACATATTATGTACCTTTAATCAACGTTTTTCAGTAAAATTCAGATGAAAATATGTTTTTGTATGGACAAAAACAGGCTGAGCCAAAAAACAAAAATTCGATAAAAATTGCCCAACTGGCAGGAAAATGCCTGTTTCTCCGATTTAGTTATTTAGGTGTTTGTCTGATTTCACTAAGATGGGCCACTTACATTAATACAAAGAAAATAAAGAGATAGACAAGACCTGGGTAAAACAAGCCATAAAGATGTCAACAATTATAGAGTGCTGAGACTAGCCAAGAGTTTAGAGTTGACGTGTCAGCTCTGACTGTCTTGCACTATGTGTGTAAGAAGAAAAGCAACACACTTTGCTGTTTTATCGCCTATAGAACACTTACTTCCCCACCAATAGTCTAAATATAGATACAACCTCATAGCTAAAACAAGCACAGATTTTAAGAGACATCACTTTCTATATTATTCAAAACTTAGTAGTTGCTGGGATATTGAGGAAACAAAAACAAGGTGTACCGGATACCTATTATTTATTATGCGTTTTATCGAAACATATTAGATACTTCTACAGGACAGTCAAGGGGTTAAAAACAATAGTGCATTGAGTTTACAAGCAGTTGTTCATTCTGACAACCCCTCAATGACCAAAAACAGTTTTCCTCAGTCCTCACTAAGTTTGTGGGGAATAAAATAATCCATTTCAGGGTTCTTTCATGGGTAAAAAAAAAACAGTTAAAAAATCGGACGGTCCAGATTTTGTCAGAGTACTTGACAGGTCTGGTTTACTATCAATAGACTAGCACCAGATGTGCTGTCTTTACAATGCTTACCAAAATACTGATATCATAGCAAACTCAGTTTTCTCTGCAAATACCTCTCCCTGTTTCCTCTGTTCATAACATAGATTATTTCCTCAATCCATAACTCATCCTATTGACTTTTTCAACAACAAAACTTTGTTCCCTCTTTTCATAACTTACCCTGTTTTTTCTGAATGATGCCACGGAGAAGGTTGATCATGTCGTCTACATCACTTCGGCTCTGAAGACGCTCAACCGTTTTTTTGGACGCCCTATGTTAAGAGGAAGAAATATACTATGAAAGTGAGGTTCTAAGACCCCCCCCCCAAAAAAACCCCCAGACCAACAAAAAAGTCTATCACAACAAAGTTCTAAGGGGAGAACAAAAAATTGTCCGTGTTACTGCACTTCTTCGAGGCAAACAAAAATAGTCTGAGATACTGAAATTCAAGGAGACCAACAAAAAATCAAGTGACACTGAGGCTGCAAGAGGATACTAAGACATAGTTTCTCAGCTGACATGAGTTGGCCACAACGCCATGTCACCTGCAGTTAACAGCTGCCAAGAATTTTGCTTGCTCATGATTACTGAAAAAAATTAGAAACAAGTTGCCAAGTAAAATATAAAGCCAGAGGTAGGCCTTCCGTGTACAAGTACACATACTATTCTCACTGATAAAGCATGGAGTATATTTATACAATTTAACATTTTTATAGAAAGTAAAAGACTTAAACCATGGGAAGAGTTTGCCATGCATTCCAAATTCAATTATAGTCCACAGAGAACCTTTCCTTTAACTGATTCTGTCCATGATTTTTTTCAGGCTCTGGGCAGAATTATTTTTCCTTGTTCAGTTTTAGACCTTGGGTGCATCTATTTAATGCATTACTGCGAAGCTGTAAGTTACTCTAATAGGTATTGTCATATACCAAAGTGATGGGAATCAATAGAGGAATCTGTTTATATCGGTTTGTATTGTATTTTCCGTCAGACAAAAACTAATTAGGAAAAAAAATTGCGCAACAACTCTTAGAAAATTTCGACTTACCGCGTTTTCTCAGCTCTACAAGTCCTTATAATGCATAGGAATCAACACAAAATTGTTGCAATATCACCCTAGCAAAAATTTATGCAAGAATTTCACAAATTTAGTTGAATATCTTTCTTTGAAGGGCCTTTTTCTTATACCAGGCTCCATGTTATTTACCCTTAAATCTAGCCTACATAGTGACAACAAAACAAAGATTTTTGCAAGAATTTCGAGCAGTTTCGATCGATATTAGCGGTCAGAGATTGAGGTCAGGTTTGTTTACAAGTTCTACTTCCTTTCGACAACTTAAAAAGTAGGAACTAAGTTTAAAAAGTGCACATTTGTATCGGATTTCGCTCAGATTTGGTTGAGCCGCTCACAGCAGTCGAATGGACGCAGCGGAAAAACTCAGAGCCGCTGTCAGCGGCCGAATGGACGGAATCAGTTAACCCTATCTGTATGTCGTGTTTTACTATCGTATCCATACTACGTGGGGAACTCTTTGCCACCATTTTCCAAAGAGGAAATTTACTCTAATCCAATCCGTACGCTTTGCAAAGCAGTCTGTCAAACTGATTTTTTGAGAAAATACTGAAAGTTTCAAAGAGATCTTTGCACTAGAAGTATTCTAAAATGTGAAGAATACAACCCCGGGGGGTACAAAATGACCCCAGGGCGTACGGATAGGGTTAATCAGTTTGATTTGCCTGCAGCAGGCATTCAGTGTAACAGTGACAGCAAAAGTTCTAGAGTCGCAATACACCAAAGAGACATGTAACATAAAGAACCTCGTCCTCCTAGAGGCCAGAACGCCACTATGCTGGGTGGGGCCACGGGGGGAGAACGATGCTCGTGTCAGTCGCTGTCCAATTGGCTGGTATGAAGGCTCTGGTGCTGGCTGTACATGTTAGGGATAAAAACGGCGATATGTGTTTTAGTAACTTACATGGGAGAAAAAAAACGGCGATATATGTTTTAGTAACTTAAATGGGAGAGAGATAATAAGATCTTGTGTTTTCTAATTCGTGGAAAGTTGAAATATAAGTTTGTGTTTTTTTCAGTACACACAAATCAATTTATGGGTTTGTCTCAATATAAAAAACAAAGATGACAAATAGTAATTTTGTAACATTTAAAATCTCAAAAAAAGTACAACTTACTGGGTCTGAAAACTTGGCCACAATTTCCCTGACACCTTCAGCACTGTACTGTCCTCTTGCTGAAAATCATCAACAAAAGGTGAGGGATTAGATCACATCGTCAATATATCATTTACATTATAGAACATTCACTTTACCATACAAGTATGAGACCATATTACTAATCATGTTTTAAACAGACACAGTGATTCTAACAGGCATGTATGACACAACTATCTTACCATATGTGGTGACATAGTGAACTTACTGTGTGTACAATAAATATTATTTACGCATAGATAATTTTATCTTAACCTACCGTCGGTCGCCTGATAAAACCTAGAATTCCACAAATTTTCGAAAATCGTTTTTTTTGCATATTTTGATAGTGCTCGGTGAGATACATGTCCCTGAAAAACTATTTTTCAATTATCTCAGCTGAAACGTGTAATCTGACGTAACGAGGAAATCGTGAATAAACACCATGACCCAAAAGTTGCCTGACGAAACCGTGAATCCTACACCTAGGTGGAATTCTTGATCTCATCAGTCGGTTTATGACTCGTGGGGCTAACAGTTGGCGCCGTGAACACTTCTTTAGACATTCAAATATGGGCGACTGCGCTGAGCAAACGCAATGGTCGGTCAGTAACTACGGTTTTCAGGCCAGAGAGCATAATTTATGATGTCGACTGCATGTGTTTTACCGGAAAACCTCTCTGTCAAATGATTAAAATGTGAGTTTCCTAGATGCAGGACTGGTACTGTTTCACAACGACTGTCAAATTTGAATGAGTAATGCGTGTGCCCTTTTGGTAATAGGTTATACAATTTTGATCTTGCTCGTTTGAACACAAAAAATCGTTGTAGTCAAGTATAAATTACAAGTATATTTCCATGTCATATCACAATCCAAACTTGTTTGACATTGAAAGCTTACTGATTTGACAACAGAGTTCCCTAACGAGAAAAGGAATTTTGTGAAGTCGAGCAATGTGAACCACTTTGGATATCAAAGAAAGCTGCAGAAAATCCAGCACGGAAATAATAGAAGAACCAGACCTCAATGAAAAAAACGTGTCATTCAAAGTACACGATGCTTTGGAGCAGATTGAAGGTGCTTTTTTATACCTCTGAGAGAGAGAGAGAGAGAGAGAGAGAGAGAGAGAGAGAGAGAGAGAGAGAGGGAGAGGGAGAGGGAGTGAGAGAGGAGGAGGAGGGAGGGAGAGAGACAGAGTGAGTGAAAGTGAGAGTGAGTGAGTGAGAGTGGCCAGCAATAAGCAATACAAATCAAGAGACAGGACTATTTAAAAAAAAACTAATGAACTGAAACCCAGGTGTGATTGCTGAACCAAATCAAATGACTACTCACTATTAAAAGACAAAGCCAGAACAACACTCTTTGTTTTTGTTTGGACTGACATGGGGAGACAGAAAGACCAATGTGAACGGTCTTCTCATCACGAAAGAGTACAGCTTAAGCAAATTATGCAATACACCAAGCTGAAAGATGCACACTTGGGTTTATTATCTGAAACAGAGTGATCAGAATATCAAAGTTTGCAGGCTGTTGATATCTATGAGCGTGCTCATTTGCTCTAGAAGAGCCCAGGCCAGTTTCATCATCACCTGGCTCACCCCATACGCACAGACACTTTCCACTATTGCCTACCCTGGGCGAAATTCTTCATATTTTTTACTACATATGTCTTTCCACTTTTCTGTTCATCTCTCTCTGCGACTTTTCTACAGATTCCACATGGCCTTCCCTTGATCGTTTAACTTGTGGACTCCAAGTGAAAACTTTCTTTGTTATGTAGCTACCTGATTTCCAAATGGTATGCTCAGTCCAATCCATCTCCACTGCTTTTTTCTGTTTGAAAATTTTCTGTTTAATACTTCCTCTTTGGTGACTGTCTGTCCATCTGATCCTGAAAAACTTCCTCAGGCACTTGTTGATGACAACCTGGATCCTCCAGCACTTTGTAGAGAGTGCTTTAGAAGAGCCCAACCCAGCTGCACCACCAAACAATCCACAAGGGGCGTGCAAGCCAAGGAGCTTCTGTTCACATCTGTGGACATGCTTCCAAAGGTACCTTCCCACTATTGCCAGCAAAGCTCTGGAAAACTGTATCTTGATCCCTGATTCTGTCGGAGCTTCATTGGTTTTACGAAACAGCCTGCACAGGTCAAGGACAATCTGCTGTGTATGTCAGACTTCTCAAATATGTGCTAGATGAAAGGAATATGGATTTCATCAGGCGACCGACGATACATGAAGAAGGTATTACATATTTACACTATCATACATGAAAGACGTATGTCTAGATTACAAGTCTTAGACAATTTTAAAAAATCATTGCAAGTTGTATGTCTTCTTCGTTTCCGGCCATAGCCATACGTATATCTTTAAATGAAAAATTTGTATCTTTCCATGTTCTCCCTTTGTCTAACACTAACAAGTTCATAATGAGATTGTAGCCACTGGGATAGCAAAACATTTTCAATCTAACCTTTTTTTTTTGGTAAACGTTTTACAGTGCTCGCAACTGCATAAGGTCATTTAAGCGCGCGGAACACATTAAACTTTTTCAGTTGGTAGGAAATTTTGAATTTTGTGCGGGTGGCAGACGAAGCCTACTCTTATCGATTTTAGTCCACCAAGGGATCTTTAACATGCGCAACTTGCACACTGGCCTTCTGAGATTTTTCGCCCTTGTCCAAGAAGGCTAGGTGCAGATCTTTCCTACCAGAAGATCAGGGGTGTGGCTGAAAGACAGTAGTAGAAGGAGCCAAGGAGTAGCAGTAGAAAAGCTGCAGAAAGAGTCAGGAGCCCAAAGGAGGGGGCAAAGGAGGTGAGGGGGTGGAGGCAGAAAGAGGAGACGAAAGCAGATGACAGAACATTGCTAGAGAGCAGGGATAAGAGAAGAAAAGACTGCAAAAAAGATTGTGACCTTAGATTTTCCCACAAGCAGGGGACTCACACTTTTTTGTGCCGACAGAGACCATCCTCTAGATACCCTTGTAGATGTCAAGAACAGGAGGAAAGGAAATGAGTAAGACCTATCAATGATTCATCTCCAACCACCGCAATATATGACAGGGAGAGAGAGTGGCCGAAGATAGGAAAGAGAAAGAGATAAATTTTCTCTGATTGTGCTAGAGAGCAGGTGCAGAAAAGAGGTGGAGACATGTTTATGGGTGATTTTCTGTTAGTGTGAATAATGCTCAGTCACAAGAACATACCAACGGAAGTGAAATCCCATCTCATCAATAGCATCTTCCTACCAACATTAACATACCAGTGGCAAATGGTCTCTAAACAAGGCACAAGAAAGAAAAATCAATGCATGCGAAATAACGTGTCTTCGCAAAACCACCAATGTCACCAGAAGAGACCGCATAAGAAACAAAACCATACGTCTACAAACTGGAATACCACAAGTAATAAAATTCATAGAGCGTCAAGGAGTCAAATGGTTTGGACATCTAACCAGAATGCCCCAGAAACAACTAGCGGCTAGAGCTAACAACATCCAAGAATCCGGCTTCAAATCAAGAGGAAGATCAAGAAAGACCTGGCTGGATGGGGTTCAAAAAGGTCCTGGAACAACATACCATCTATCACAGACACTACACACCTAGCACAGAACTGAAACTTGCACCTCCCCTCGACATCCTAAGGATACCAGAGGAAGTAAAATGTAAGTAAAGTAAGTAAGTGAATGATATTATATACATCACACATATTTTCATGACACAGTTGCACATTTACCTTTCATGACACTATTACACTTACATTTCATAATTTTTTGTATCGTCTCCTGGGATCGACTGTCCCATCTCACCTCACCCTCATAATCTACGTCTTGTGACAAATTGAGCAGGGACTCGTCCCATCCAGGATCTGCAGAGGAGTCCAAAGTACAACTAAGACAAAAGTTTGAAGCATGATACAAAAGATACACTCATTCATAAAAAAAGCACAATAATAAAACTTTCATATGAGATGCATAAAAGTAGTTAAATAGGTATAAAATCCCAGGAAAAAGAAATTCTGAATACTCTTTGTATTCGTGTGTAATCATAGTTATTTCCGAAAGAAATGAAAAACTCCATCTTCATATATATATATATATATTTATTTTAGGACAATTTTAGCAAACAAACAAAGATTCAGGAGATTCATTTTGACTCCTAATGCATACTAATGGTGAACAAATGCCACTTAATTCACATTTTATTTTAACTCTATACTCTGCTAAGATTTGATGATGACATAAGCCGTCTTGCGCCACACAATAATACTCTTTGAACGGATCGACAGGAAGGCTCACAAAGACAAAACAGCTACAAATATCATTATTCCTGATATAGCCTCACAAATAATGTAGTTATAGTAGTAAAAGTGTAGGATGTCGTGTTTCTCAGCAATTATTGCATTGTTGATCTTGACCATAGAAAAAGTACGAACTCGGCGCGTCACGTTTTGCAAATTTTAAAAATACGCATCTATTTTAGAACTAAAAATATTAGTAAGATTTCTTCTGAAGGCCCGACTGCTATTTCTCTGCTCCCCTTGCTGAAACATCATATTTAAAAGCACAACACATACAAATTTCAAAGCAATAGCACCATTTTTACTGGAATAGGAAAAGATTTTGTAAGGTAGGCCTATTTGAAGAAACCCTATATATATATAAATATACAGTCAAACCTGCCCTGACGGCCACCTCTATAAGACGGCCACCTGTACAAACGGTCACTTTCCATTTCCCCCCTTGCGTTTTTTCTATATTTATTAATTTAACTGTGTAAAACGGGCACCTGTCCAACGCGGCCACCATATTTTAACACAGAACCCCTATCACACTAAGCAATACCTGTCTTAGACGGCCACCTTAGTGACTCCATTACAATTTGTCATAAAATATTGTGCACTGGCCCCTGGCGTTGTGGGCGAGCCGTCATAATCCAATCCCTTGTCGTTGTTGTTCTACAGATAGTCCCTCCAACCGATCATGTTGCGTAGGCCCCTCCCACTGTTGACCAATAGAGGTACCAATTTTCAGCTGCTGGTGAGGTAAGCATGTGATCCCTCATATCCCATAAGCCCCGCCCAGAACTCATACACAAATCGTACGTGAGATGAGTGGTCACTGTTTACCCAGTCTGTAACAAAGTAACAATAGACGTCAACATGAACTTGTGACAGAAGCGTCACTCGTTCTCCGAGTGGTGGTGACCCATGTGTTTGTTTTAACATGGCACTCGGTCTTCCTTGTCTGATACGTTTCATTTTATTGTCACTCTTGCGCAAAATCAGCAACAAAATAAAAATAACAAACAAAATACAAACCAACAACATCAAAAACAAGAACAATGCGGCTACTTTCGATTGGGACTTCAGATATGAATGGTTAGTTTTCTTCATCATGATCAGTCCTGCCTAAGACGGCCTCCTGCCTTATACGGCCACTTTTCTCCATGACAATGGGTGGCCGTCTTTCACACATATATATATTACAAGATGTTAAATCACCCAAACAACTCGTTCAGACTACCAATGCTATTCTGGGAAAAGAAACAATATCTCCTCTCCCCTCTGCAACATCAGATGACGAACTTTGTAGTTTATTTGTGACTTTTTTCAATGACAAAATTAATACCATACGCTCTTCTCTCGACCTAGAGCCAAATGGAAATTTGGAATTTTCAGAATTTACTGGACAAATATTAGAGTCTTTTAGTCCAGTTACAAATAGTGATATTTTAAATTGTATTAATGGGTCAACCATAAAAACATGCGACCTTGACCCAATGCCTGCTCATGTATTCAAAACCTGTATTGATATTGTCCTACCTCACATTACTCAGATAGTGAATATGTCACTTGCCACTGGCACAGTACCTAATACTTTCAAACAAGCTATTGTAAAACCTTTATTGAAAAAACCCGGGCTTGATAAAAATGAATTTAAAAACTATCGACCAGTTTCGAATTTGCAATTTGTCTCAAAAATTCTAGAGAAGATTGTTTTAAGTCAAGTTTTGTCTCACATGAGAAAAAATGGTCTTGAGGAAATTTACCAATCTGCCTATAAAACTCATCATAGTACCGAAACTGCGCTTTTAAAAGTAACGTCTGATTTATTGGATTCCATTGATAGCAAAAACATCTGTCTTTTAACTCTTTTGGATCTGTCCGCAGCTTTTGACACAATTGACCATGCTATTCTACTCACAAGACTTGAGCGCTCATTTGGCTTATCGGGTACTGTGCTTTCATGGTTTAAGTCATATTTACTAGAAAGAGTTCAGTCAGTGCAAATTAAAAATAGCTTTTCAAAGCAGGTCAGGCTCGATTATGGAGTTCCACAGGGGTCCGTTCTTGGACCAGTGCTCTTTACACTATATACACAGCCCTTAGCAAGCATTTTACAAAATCATGGATTGAATTATCATTTTTATGCCGATGATTCCCAAATGTATGTTAATGGCACCATTCAAGATCTACCAAACATGATTTCCATCACTAAACAATGTTTTTATGAAATCAAAAAGTGGATGACAGTAAACAAATTGAAACTAAACGAAGAAAAGACAGACATCATTCTTATAAAAAATCCACGATTAAATAAAGATCTGGAAAGTGTCAACTTTGATTTATATGGGCATATGACATCTAGTAAAGAAGTTGTCAGGAATCTCGGTGTATATATTGACCACCACTTATCAATGGGCTCGTTTGTAGGATCTCTGTCCAAATCCCTTTATTTTCAGCTGAGAAGGATAGGCCTAGTTCGAAAGTACTTAAGCGAAGAGACCACAAAAACACTGGTAACATCTCTTATCCTATCTAGATTAGACTATTGTAACTCACTCCTGGCAGGTCTGAACAACAAATATTTGAATCGTTTACAAGTAATTCAAAACAATGCCGCTAGACTGATAACAAGATCTAAAAAACGAGACCATGTCACTCCATTATTAAAAGAACTGCATTGGCTCCCTGTAAAAGAACGAATAATATTTAAAATCTGCGTCATGTGTTTCAAATGTCTAAATAAAACTGCTCCTTTTTATCTACAAGAACTTATCAGTATATATAAACCAGGGAGAAACCTAAGATCATCGAACGATAACACCCTACTTGTGACACCTGTAAAATCATACAAATCATATGGAGAGAGATCTTTCTCATATCTTGGTCCATTTATGTGGAACAGATTACCCATGAAACTAAGACAAATAAGAACACTTGATAGCTTCAAAAGACATCTTAAACATTTTCTGTTCCTACAGGCCTATCCTTCATAAGCTTTTAACGTTATCTTTCATTACATTTGTTCTTTTCCTATGTCTGGATGAAAATAGTCTCTCTGTGTGTGTGTGTGTGTGTGTGTGTGTGTGTGTGTGTGTGTGTGTGTGTGTGTGTGTGTGTGTGTATGTGTGTGTGTGTGTGTGTGTGCATTAATGTATATTGCTTGAGAAGAAAGGAAGTAGTAAGAAAGGTTTTTGAAAAATGGGTATTCCAATGTAAAGCGCATTGAGCTACTTTTTTTTGGAAATGCGCTCTATAAATGTTATATATTATTAATGTTATATATTATATATATATATATATATATATATATATATATATATATATATAGTGTAATCATCAGCACTTGTAAACTCGTCCTTCAGACATTATTATTGGCAATGAAATGTGAAGAGTCTGGTTTACCATGTAAATCATCCATGAGCCGTGCCGCTACACTAGGCTCAAACTGCAAATTTCATCACTTTGCGTAAAGTGTTAGAAGAAAAGGAGGCATTTTTTCCTTTAAAGCAATTAAAGTAAAGCAATCCTGCCCCCCCCCCCCCCCCCTCCTTCTCGTACACAAACAATAACAATGAGGGAAAACTGGAAATTAAAAAAAAAAAAACTTGCCAAGATCATCAGGAGAAGGATTCCTGTCACCAACCGTGTCATGTCGTTCTTCAAGTTGAAGGGCCATATTATGTTTAGCTCCTAATGTCTTACTGTTCAGGTGGATATCACTGTCATGGGCATTTGGGCTGATGGCAATACTTGACACATTTTCTTCAACAGCTCTGGTAGTAGTACTGATATGTTCTTTGAATGCATTTTTGTCTGCATCTGACTGTGCATTATAAGAATTCTGTTGTAACAGGTGGCTTTTCACTGCAGAATTTACACTGTCACAAGCTATTTCTGAAACCTGATTACGATTACGCTGGATAGTCTTGGACTTGAAAGTGGAAGGAAGCAATTTTGTTTTCGCTTTGACGACTTTTGTCTCAAAGCACTGCTTCGATAACTCATTATCATTTGTTGAAAAGCCAGCTTGCTGTCGAGACGGAGACTGATGGTCCCTAACCTCCTCCTTACTTGCTTTTTCTTTCGATAAAAGTTTTCTGCTCCTCAACTTACTGTTAACACGAGATGAATGCTGATGCGTGCCTGTTGACCATGCAGCATGCGCTGCTGACACCTCAGGATCAATTGACAAACCCAATGCAGACGATTTGGTCGAACTAGTACTAGTTGCAGAAGTGCTAGACCTTGCATCCTGTGGCAATTTTGCATGTCGTCTGGACATATTGTTCAAACTTATCTTGCCTTACTTTTGAGTTTTGAGAGATAACTAGCACCACTTGGAACTTGATCTTCTTTTACTTGTTCAAGATTCAACACATCTCTTCAGTTCAGGTCCTCTTATAATAAATTTTTACTCTCTCAAGCTCTAAACTTCCAAAGATTAGGCTACTTAGAATCTTCTATAGTATAGTCTATACTATAGTATTTGTGTCTTCTATACTAAGATTCTAATCTACTCACTACTTAGATCTAGATATCTAGATCTCTAGTTTTATTTTGGGAGCCTTTATTTTGTTCATCAGTCTACTAGAGTCAAGAGTCAAGACTATTTATAATACTAAAAAGAATAGACAACACTGACTCCAGTCACAATCACAAGTGTAGTGTAGGCTAACACAAATCCTAGCTAATGAATAAACTCTTCACATTGGAGCATACTCATTAAAACAACGCATTCATATTCACAGATTTACACTGCTTGTCCATTCAACGTGGTTGTCAGCGTAGTAAGTGTAGTGTAGATTCTAGATCACTGTAGTTGTGTGTATACAAACAAAAAATACGTCTTTACTACTCTTGATCTTGTCTCTAGTATGATTTACAGGTGGTCACACAAGAATCTGTTATTCTTCATACTGTCCTGGCAAATACTGAACTGAAAGTTCACGTCCATAATAAAATTCATCGCTTCACGCTCACACTCAACACACTTAATACGAAGTCAATGATAAACAGTCTGTTGTGTTCCCAAAGGCCAAGAAGGCTAAACTTTGCCATAAGTTGCCAGTTGACAGAGCAACCTGCCATCAAATTTGACGCCAATACACGGAAGTAGATATCAAAACATAAATCGTGCGACTAACCCTTGTAATCTATTTGCCCTGTTTATTACTATTAGAATGCTATAGAGGGCCAGTAGGTTAAGCCGTGTATACTATGGGCCTAAAACATTAGGCAAATACAAAATGTAGACTAAGCCTTATGTCAGTGCAAATAATGGTATATTGTACGTTATAAAAAGAAGACAAAATAGTATAGTATCTAATAATTAAAAACTCTATTCATAATTGTGAAACTGTTCTTTGCATTCTAAGTAGGCCTAGATCTAAATATGTTGTTCTAAGCTACAATTTAGGCTAACGTAACCTTAAAACATAGCAATAATAAAGTTTGCTGTTTTAATGCGCATCTAAAAGAGCCAAGGGGAGAATGAACACGGGAGAGGAGGGGGGGGGGGAATCCTATTTTATCCACACAACAGTTGTTAGAATTGTGATTTCCTACAGCTGTTGCTGTTGTGTTGTGCCTGCCTCTCATGTTGGCTATCACAAGTTCTTCATCCGGTCAAGACCTCTGCCTCTGTGGACCAGGGGATAGATTAAGTGATTCTTCCCGATTTCGTTCTATGATCTGGCACTCCTTCGGAGAGAACATGGATCTACGATGAAAAGAAGAATGGCTTTCAGCCTCATTTACCACAGAAAAGATCGGTCCGTTTATAGGAGGGATGAATAATCTAGGAAGTGATCTGAATGCGTCGATACGAGCTGACAACATGGAAGGAATGGGAGAACCATTCCTCGGTTTTGAGCTGCTCTTGTTTCGAAGATTCCAGCATCATCCAGCTTTGTGGTATGAGTGGCGAGAACGTCTGTGGAAAAGGGCTGATCCAGGTGCAGAGACTTTGGAATCTGCTTGTTTGACAGATGATTCAGCCCTTCTGTCTCTTGAATCTCTTGAAGAACTCGGAGTTGGGGTTAGTTGTTTTGGTTATGTTGGAAGTGGCTATCCTCACCCGGGGTGAGTCGACCTCTCACCCCAGGTGAGACTTGCCACTGTTGGCTATTCTCACCCGGTGTGAAACAAGACCTGTTTTTCCTAATTTTGGTATACTTTCTATCGGTGTGGATGAACAAAATGGATAAATGCATTAAAAGCAACGCTCCGTAAAAGCAAAGAAAAAACCGAAGTGACTAGAATCTAGATCTATATTAGATTCGGACTCGAGTCCGAATATATATTTGAAAAAATGTTATTCGGACTCTGATTCTTGTCCAGCATGACATCACTCCCGACTACCTGTGACTCGTGACTCTGGCTTCCTGTCCTGCCTTACTCGTGACTCGCCTCAGGCTGGGTAGAGACCGGGATCACTTCGGGCAAAATGGCATTTTGTGCAGGAGCCAAGTTTTTATCTTATGATGAATTTGAGGCCGGCCTGAAAAGTTATAGCGCTTTTAATAAATGTTTATTTGTCAAGAGGTCACCAGAAGCAATTAAAGATGGCTCGTTAGCTTGTATCGGGGTCGGATGGGCGGCCTGCTTACGTGTGGCTGTGTGTGCGTGTCGGGGAGGAGGGGGGCACTATTGGTCCGGGCGCTCAACGTCGCATACGCATCAGTCTTTTATCCCCCAGCAACTGATTATTATTACAATAGTTTTGACGTAGATCTACGTAATGAATTGTGCGCTGGTCTCTATGGAATCAAAAGTTGCCGTATGCTCGGCTCTACACAGCAACACAACTTTTTCTTGGTAAACAATCGAGATGACACAGGCTTGTGTATTTGAACGAATCGGTCTTTTTTTTTTTACACAGCTCATAATGTACAGGTGCCAGGTGGTCTGCTAATCTTAAATTTTACCTTTTTCTACAACAAAGAAAGTTCGCAGTGGCTACGTTCAATCTTCTTCGGACAGGTGGTCACACGCCCTTATTTGTCAATTTTTGTGGTTGTTTATGGGCTGTTCTAATTTTGATTTCAATCTGTTTGTGAAACTTTTCTTTTTCACGTTTTTACACTCATCTAAAAATCTCTAGACTAGCTCTTGAAAATCGAAATAGATCTAGACCCAAAAATTTGCTCCTTCCCAGACCTCGCAGAATTTCAGAATGAAAGTTGGCGACGAACTCTCGCAAAAGGCAAAAAATCACAAGACCGTAAGCGGGAAACCGTTCGGAGGAATAAAGGTCGGCACTATTTCTCCGAACGTTCGGAGAAATAGTCACTTCGTTGTTTATTAGCCTATATATCAACTGCTATCTCTTACTGGCGTAGTAGTAGATCTAGTGTAGGCTTATCTGTCGTCTTTTGAATCATTATGGTGGTATTGTCTGATAGGACCTGGTATCAAAGTTGTTGTGACTTTTGCAGTTGATGGATCCAATTCCAATGGGAAAGAAACCAGTTAACTCGTTCGCTATGTATTATTTTCGGCTTGTGGACTAATTTTTTTCGGGAAAGCGAAATGAAATGATGACTGTGCAGTTCAAAGGTCTTTGGGGCCACAAATTCAAATAAGTATTAACATATTATACACCGAAATTTTCAGTATGACTTGTGGAATGCATCTGTAATGTCTATTTGTGTATTTTTCAACTTTAGTTCCTGTAAGAGGTGATTATGCAACACAATTTTGCTTGGATTCGGATAAAATTTGAATATAAAAAACTTACCATCTTCCGTGAAATTCAAAAAATATGTTTGCACGAAGTCAAATGATATATCAAAATAGCCATAAATAAATGTCTCTTTTTAGATCTGGAAAATATTGGAAAAATTTGTAATTTATTATATATACCTTCCATATCTGCACATTTGGATCATGACATCCGACATTGAAAAAAAATAAAAATTATAATCTTGAAAAATGGACAAGATGCATTCACAAACAGATAAAAACACTCGTAATGTATATATATGGAGTTATTTAGAATTGCATTTGGAATAAACTTACACTTGTATTGAGTGGTACTTTTTGTGTAATTTCACCAAAAAAATAGTGATTTTGGGGAGAACAAAATAATTTGATAATTTAGATCTAGACCGATCTAGATCTAGCACTGAAAAATATTGATTTCTCAATAACAGAGCAATGGCTATTTGAGCCCAATCGTATCAATATTCTAAAGAAGATTCCTACATTTCTTTAGTGTGCAAAATAATGATATATTTTGTTTGTGTAAAAATAGTAAGACTGGTGTCTGGGCTATAATTTGAGCATCGCGATTAAACAAAGTCGCATAAACTTCGAAATTGTGTTTCAAAACTGAATAAAAAACTTCCGATTTTCAGTGGAACCGCATGACCCGGAAGTCAACATTATATTATGACCTTTATTTTAACATGGATATGTGGATTGGAATAGAATCTAAGCTAAAATTGAACGTCGGTTCTCGGGCCGCCAGGGACGGCTTAGCAAACTGACGGCACTTTAGCCGCGCCTCCCCCACGGCTCGGCGTAGCGAATGAGTTAAGGAAGAGCAAGAATGCGATATAAGAAATTCAGAAAAATGTTATCCTTGTTCTTGCTCACTCTTTGCAACTTTGCAGGTGCTTACGACACACACTCACGCTTAGAACTTAGACTTAATTTTGTGACCAGTGACAATGTGACACTCTCATGCATGCACACACATTCAGTCATATACACACACCACCACACACACTACGGGGACACACCCATGTACGCACATCTTATAACCTACCAAGTAATATTAATGTGTATGCACCTTGTGGCCATGTGAAGTATTGTTTCCCAAAGGCACTTTAACTAATACTGATGGCCTCCTTTATTCTCACCCCGGGTGAGAATAACCCAAGTCTGGCTATTCTCACCCCCCCCCCGCCCGGTGAGCATAGATCCCATCCAGGTGTGGGCATGTGGCGAGGACTCCCCCCTGACCTCTCGCAAGCCGATATAATCATCTAGGCCCTTTGTGGCTTACCGCATGTGGTTGGGAACGAATTTAACAATAATAATGTAAAAACATTTTTCGCTTCACCAGTAAAAAAAATAAGAAAAGGCTCACTACCGACACTACTGGGCGTGATGTGGGACCGGCCACCGGCTGGACCTTTCGTTGTTTACATACTACGATGGCAGGCCTCTCACTCTCTGCTTGCACACAATAAAATAAAATTATGGTTCAAGGAACAGAGAGCGTGTACAAATGTAATGAGATACAAGCACGAGACATAAATGCTCTTGCACGACAGTAGAAGGGTTGTAAATTAATCAGACCAAATGGGCGAGGGTGTTAATTCTTGTTAACTAGTTTAATAATTAAATAATCCAAGCTCTTTTTTTCACTTTCATTTTTTAAAAAATTCCTTCTTTTTCTTTTTTTTTTTCTTGCCTCTTCTTTCCCCTTCTTCTTGAACATTTGGAGTTTGGAGCCAAAAAAGAGCCAGAGAGCCAAATGAAATTCTCCGGGCCAGACACGATCAGAAAAAGCCAAATTTATGGGATTTGGCACTAAACTGACAATCCTGACTGTGACTATTCGGACACGAACAGTGACGAACATGATGCTGTGGAGCATCAGCCCTGGTTCCCCCCCCCCCCCCCCAGGGTCATGCCCACTAACCTCTGCCCTGATCCCTCTAGGATCATTTCCGGTATAACGAGGGAGTGAGAATAGTGAGACATGGGTTATTCTCACTTCCAATACTGATAATCATCATACTACACTGGGAGATGTCAAGGTGGAAAAAAGGTGATGTCACAAAATAAAATGGAAATCGTGAAAAATTTAAACACAAACACACACAAACCTGTACACACACATACGCATTCACATGTGCACTCCCAATTATCTATACAGACACACACTCTTCCCTCACACATCGTTTCTTCCACACATTTCTGTGCACATAACCATGATATAATATAATAGTATACTTGCACTCAAAAACGGGCTCACAGTCACATGCATAATATTTATAAATGAACAGTAATATAAACTTTAATAGTGTAAGCTAGATACGTACTCAGTATTCTTATTGTAAATCAATGGTATTCTGATGCATGCTTTAAAGATCATATTATATTTATAACAAAAGGATTAAGATGGTGTGATGTGTGTGATCCTAGCTTTATGCTCGGAACTTTTTACCTCTTTGAGTTTGCTGATATTTTGTTTCCAATGTTTAATGAACATTAGGATATCCACCAAGACCTATGGTACCTTTCTGTGATGCTGCATGGACGTCCCAAGCACTTATTGGAAATGGTAAAACAGGAGATTGAGAGAGAAAAGTGCAAAAGATTTCCAAAAGCTGGTGGTAAGTTGTAACAGGACATTTACTGAGTTATAAATGTGTTGGTCACTTTGATGTTGTTACATGTTGAGTTGCAGCCCGCTTTTAACATGTGTTTCACTGAAGTACACAATGACTACTATCTGTGGAGCTGAGTCTGTATTTTAACATGATATTCAAACTTCCTATATCTGTGCAATTGAGTGTATCACTAATTATTTATATCTCTGTGTTATTTATGGAATTACTATTTACATACATATTAAAAATGTGAAAGGTGAAGTTCTGTATTTGATTTAACCCTTGTTGGTTTCGACTGGCAGGGTCAGAGTGACCTGCCTCCTAAATATTCTAAATATGTCAACAGTCTAAGGAGACCCAAAAAATTTACAATCAATCAATTATAGTTTTAATATTTATCACAAATACTGATATATATGGCGGACAGTCCGGATTCGAGCCTCGGTTCGGAAACGGATTTTTTCCGCCCCTTCCTGCCCACCCAGCAATAATGGGTACCTGACTTTGAGTTGGGGAAGTAAAGGTGGCATGGAAAGGAACTGGCCACCCTATCACAATATGCCGAAGGCCCAGGAAGTAGTCTCACTAACAAGGCAATCCCCAATGTCCGGATGGGATGCGGGAACAACTTTTTACTGATATATAAATAATTTCATTAATGTTATTGTCTGTGGAGATGCATTTGTTGCTTTTGTAGAACTCAATGTTTGGTAAAGTAATCAACGACATTGATATATTTTGAAGTTTTTTGCATTTTCATTAACACAAGGGGCTGTCCTGGTCAAGAGGTATAGTGTTCACCTACCAGTCAAAAGGTCTAAGCCTCCTGGCAGTGGAAAAATTGTTTTCTCTAAAATTTTCTCCTTCATCCTCCTTTACTGTTCTCTAGTTAGTAGTCCTGTTTTGTCATCTGCCTTTCTCTCCACCCTGTCACCCTCCCCCATCACCAACCCCAGCTCCCCTTTACTCTTCTCTTCCTTGCCATTGACTCTTTGTACTTTCTACTGATCCTTTGGTGGTTCTAAAATCGATAAGAGTAGGCTTTGGCTGCCACCTGTGCAAAATTCAAAATTAAGTTCTACCGAAGCTGAAAATACTCTTGTCTGTTTAAAAATATAGTTAACTTTAGAAATCGGAATACGGCTGCCTGAAGGTAACAAGGTACCCGATGAAGTAGGAAAAACAGATACATATACTTGAAAACCAGTTTCTCTGTAGGTTGAAGAACCAGTAGTCTGAGATCTAGTAGGGGAACACAAAGAAGAAAAAGAGGACTAATATACATGAAAATGTGCTGAACTCAGTAAAACATTAAGGCCACACTCTACTTCTTAGCACCAAAATCTATAATTAAGTTATTTTTACTTGTTTTTTCTCATTTTCTCTAGGCATTCCATTCAAGGATTAAAAATAAATATTTAGTTTTGGGAATCATAATCAGTTACATAATCACAGAAACGGCAAATTAGAGTGAAACCGTATTATCTAAACACCATTTTCAAAAGCTGAAAACTCAAAAGCCATCCTTGATGTCTATGAACTTAATTCATTGTAATCTGCACACAAATCTTACAGAAATGACTCTAGCTTTTCTTGAAATTGTAAACAATAATAATTTTATTACTTTTAGAAGACTTGCATTAGCAAATGACAAAAGTAATCAAAATTGCAAAGGAAAAAAAATCATTAAATATTTTTTTTTCTTCAAAAATTATAAAATGCTAGCATTTTTTTATTTGGAATTCTTTTGTGCACTTACCATCCAAATTTAATTCCTCTGTCTTTAATGGTTTTTTAGTTTTTAGCTTTAAAAGCCAAGAAATTAAGTATTTGAGGAAAGCAGCAAAAACATCTCAAAATTGCTTTAAAGCATTGTATTGGCTCACAATGTTACAAACTGTATGGAGCTATCTCTTTGAAATAGAGCTTTGGGAGTTCTTCCATTCCATTTAGTGCATAATTTTCAAGGGAAGTTTCTTAAAACCCCAAAAAACATTGTTGGACCCGAACTGGACCCCAAAAACCTGCGTGTGGCCTTAAATTACCATTGTGAATTTCACGTTCATTATGTCATCATGTTTTTTCTACTTTTCCGTCGCTGGCCGATGTTTATGGACAAGATAATTTCGCGGATCAGTTTGTGTTTTCTTTGTGGATTTTATGAAAGAGATACATCAAAGTCACTCAGAGGCTATAGCCTTTATTTGACCTATTCACCTGCACACTGTCAGCTCAAAGACATGGATTTACTATCATTGCATACTTGTCTGAATGTAAAGACAAATTGATACTTTAAATTCTCCGTGCAGTTAGTACTTAATTTGACATTTTAACGGGTTTTTTTCCTTTGTAGGTGGGGTTTGACTTTACTAGCATTTATGGTGGAATGGATGCTCTTCACTTTGCATCGAATGACGAGTTTGATTTCCAAAATGGGGAACATATTTTATTTTTACTTCTAGATTATTGTTCAGCACATAGTTGACGTTTAGCTCTATCATGTCGATTCTAAACAGCCCACTTCCTAAATGATTATGATTTTGATTGCATCCGTGGTGGTGTTACTATTTTACCTCTTATGTTCTTTATTTCTTGTTTTTTGTATTACTGGTCAGGTGTTTAGATAAATGTATGTCTTTAGCCTGCACAATACTGGAGAAACCAAGACATGTAATATGATTCTGTTGCCTGTGGTGTTCCCACAAAATTTATCATTTGACTGGATCATGTCCTTTGAATTTTTGTGGTGAATTGTTCGTTTTGCCTCTTGAGTGATCTGTGTCTGTGACATTCTCGAACATTGTAACATGGGAGTATGTTTTTTCTTCATAAAATAAAGGATCACTAAATTTACTTTTGAGATATAACAGAAACTGTCTTAAAAAACCCTTCTTTTTAAAAATTTCCTTTTGCTTGCTTGTTTAATCTGAAAACTGCCACTATTGGACTACATTCTTTATAAATTGATGCCTACAGGGATGGTTCCCTTACACACCGGTGAAATCCTGGGTGTTTCGTTCAAAAAATTTTTTTTTGTTCTGCTCATGTCAGTAAGTAAGATAGATGTTAAAGCAGAACTGCATACAGAGAGTATTTAAGAGAACAGTTCACTAAATGTTCGTGTGTTTGTTTCAGAAACCCTGCTGATGCGCTACCTGAAGCTTCATCAGTTCACTGTGCTGAGTCTTGACAGTATGTTCAAGTTTGGGGATGACAATAGACTGCCCCGGGAGGTGGGTACTCATTTGGCAGTCCTGCTTTTTTGTGTCCTGTTCTTCCAGCAGTGCTTTGTGTTTGTTTGAAGATCATCAAGTAGCCCTGTGTACTTAAATAATCCTCTCACAGTCATATGTTTTTCACTGACGTCGATGTCTTCAGGCGCCCTTTTGCCTCAAACAGTTCACATGTTTTTGTCTGAAGATAATCTAGCAGCTCTGTGTTATATGGTCACCTCAAAGTCCTGAATCTTTTTCTCGCAGTTATCTATCAGTCCTCTGTACCTGAAGATCATCTAGAACTCCTATGTTTGTCTAATGACCAAGGATAACCTTTGGTAGTTTATAAAAGAAAAATTGTATAGATATCTATGTGCTTTGTGTTTCGTATAGTTTAACATTCCTGTGTCTTTTAAAAAAATTTGCCTTCCCCACCCCTTTCCCGTTCTTCACACGTAGTGAGAAAAATGCTTTTTGTCTTGAGAGTTGTGGCATTTTAGTCTCCATTAATGAAATCTTATGTTGTTTTCCAGATATTCCGATGTCCTAATGTCAAGTATCTAAGCTTGAAGTACAATGGCCTTGAGCACTTGCCCTGTGACATTGGCAGGATGGCCAGTTTGGAATACCTGGCACTGACCAACAACAAGTTGTCTGTGTGGTCACTGCCCTACTCTCTTACCTTCCTCACTCGTCTACAGACCTTATTGCTGGGTATGTCTTTCACATGTTGTCAACTCCTTATATCTGTATGACAAACGCTTTGACAGAAATATTTTTGTGACCGGCTCTTAGAGACTTAGATCTTATGGCAGATATCCTGAGAAAAATATTTTGTGACAGACGTTCTTAGAGGAATATTGTTTGACAGACACTCTGAGAGAAATATATTGTGACAGACAGGTCAAGACAGATCTTGGGATATAACGTTGTTGAGGTGGATCTTATGACACACTCTAGAAAATATAGATTTTGTGACTGTAAAGTTACCTGGCGGTCCGATGAGTCGGGTCTGTCAGGGGGCCCCCGTCTAGGATAGATGTTGCCTTGTCCTGTCTGCGACTGAATCTCTCAGTGAGTGTTGCTCAGACAACGTCAGCCTATGTTCCCACGGCTCAATGTGACATCATCCAAGGGCGGGCTACTCCCTTAATGATCTTGTCCCCATAGTAAAGATAAGAGTCATGTCACTTGACATCACATCCCCCTCACAAGCAATTTAAAGAACAATTCAAAATACTAAACGCATCAACCAGAAACTGAAACTATAACTCTGGAACCTTATATACACCGTACACAGCAGAAACTTCGCCTACAAGTCGAGTCTCTGCGGAGGCCTGACATGGCGTCCCGACTTCGTTATGCTGTCAGACATAGTGGAAGTATCATGACGGGTTGTGTCTGACTCTGGTGACTCTGCTGGTAATTCTGGCTGATGGTGAGGCAACATAAAAGACTCTCTGGGGATCACGAGATGGGTACTGTCATGGCCTTCCATCCTCAGCCGGATCTGGTGACGATTACAAACCTTCAAACCGTTGTCCGTTTTCAAGAGGTATGATCTGTCTCTCGATCTGTCTACAACTGTAGCCTTGGCATTCCTTGGGGTTTTAACCCAAACTGGCTGTCCTTTTGACAAGACTGACATGGGCTGGCGCAATGTCTTCGATCGTAATCCTGTTTCTGCCTCTGCCTGAAAGCTGCGTCAATCTTCCTGAACACCTGCCTTTTTCCCCCCTTTGGGACCAATTTTTCTGGAAAAATGGGCACTCTTGTCCTGATTTTCCTACCCATTAGAAGTTCTGCTGGGCTCTGTCGTTGTTGTAAAGGTGTGGAGCGGTAGTTCATGAGAGTCAAGTAAGGATCATCAGACTTACTCGATAACATTTTGATAGTTTTGACGGCTCTTTCAGCTTCTCCATTACTCTGACGATGTAGAGGGCTGCTTCTCAGGTGCGTTAAACCATAGTACTGTGAGAACTTTTGACACTCGTGTGCTATGAACTGGAATCCATTGTCTGAGACGACGATTTCAGGAACTCCATATCTAGCAAAAGTTGACTTGCAATGTTCTACGACATTTGAAGCAGTAGGCTCTCTTAGATGAGTTATCTCAATCCACCTCGAGTAATAGTGTACTATTAGGAGATATGTGTGACCTTTCCACACAAAAAGATCCATACCCACCCTTTACCCCGGGTAGTCTGGAGTGACTGTCGCCTTCAATGGTTCTTTCTTTTTCACAGTCGGACAGTTTGTAACCGTTTCGATTTTTTGTGACAGTCCAGGCCACTGTACACTACTTCAAGCCAGCACTCTGCACTTAACTATCCCCTGTTGTCCTTCGTGAAGACGTTTCAAGATATCCTGTCTTAATATTGTGGGAATAACAAGTCGGCACTGGTATAGTAGCTAACCTTGTTCCACAGTCAGCTCGTCTCTTGACGTCCAATATGGCTTCATAACTGGATCGACTTTGGTTGTGGTCGGCCATGAGAATTAACAGTATTCTTTTAATTTCTTACAGATTTTGTCTGCATCTTGCTGCTCTCTAATTTCTTGCAATTTCTTGTCGCTTGCTGGGAATCCTTCTAGGACAGATCTGACGTGTAGCTCACTCTCTTCTTCCTTTTGATGATCTTCTTTACTTGGCACTCCCACCGAAGCTCTTGACAATGCATCGGCTGTTTCCAAATTCTTTCCTGGTACACGGGTGATGTTGTTGGAAAACCTCATCACTCTCATCCTAAATCTCTGAATGCGAGGGGTCAATTCATCCAGATGCTTTGTTTTCATCAGTTGTAGAAGTGGTTTGTGATCTGTTTCAATCAGGAATTTTGGCAATCCCAACTCTGACACCATGTAAAGTTACCTGGCGGTCCGATGAGTCGGGTCTGTCCGGGGGCCCTCGTCTAGGATAGATGTTGCCTTGTCCTTGTCCTGTCTGCGACTGAATCTCTCAATGAGTGTCACTCAGACAACATCAGCCTATGTTCCCGCGGCTCAATGTGACGTCATCCAAGGGCGTGCTACTCCCATAATTATCTTGTCCCCATAGTAAAGATAAGAGTCATGTCCCTTGACATCACATGTGACTGATGCTTCAAAATGTGAAATTAGTGACAGAAACAAAAGGACAAAAATCTTGTGACTGTCTTTTGCTGATAGAGAGAAATATTTTGTAACTGACTTTTAGAGCGATAGGTCTTATGCAGAGAATCAAATTTTTTGGCTGAAACCCAGAGATGTAGGGGGGCTCTCGTGGCCTAGAGGTTAAGGTGTTGGCCTCTCATTCAAAGGTCCCGGGTTCGATTCCGGGTAGCGACCAAAAAATGTTCTTCTCTAAAATTGTCTCCTTTCACATCCTTTCCTGATCTCTAACAATGTTCTGTTGTCTGCTTTCATTTCCACTTTCTGACCCCTCACCTCCTTTGCCCCCTCCTCTGGGCTCCTGACTCTTTCTGCAGCCTTTCTACTGCTACTCCTTGGCTCCTCCTAACTGCTGTCTTTCTGCCACACCCCTGATCTTCTGGTAGGAAAGATCTACACCTAGCCTTCTTGGACAAGGGCGAAAAATCTCGGAGGGCCTGTGTGCAAATTGCGCACGTTAAAGATCCCTTGGTGGTCTAAAATCGATAAGAGTAGGCTTCGGCCGCCACCCGGGCAAAATTCAAAATTTCCTACCCACGAAAAAGTATTAAGTGTGTCCCACGCGCTCATATGACCTTATGCAGTTGCGAGCACCGTAAAACCCCATACTAAACAAACAAAGAGATGTAGGTCTGTGTTTTGCAACAGACACTGAATGAATCTTGTGGTTTAGACGTTTTATCTGTTAATATTGGTCTGTGTCTTGCATTACCGAAGTCCCACAGAAAACAATCTCATCTTGTCCACAGATAGCTTTTTATTTCATCTAAGGACAGTATGGTATCATCAAATCTCATCTACAGATTGTGGTTTCACTTCCTTTTTTGTCTCCAGATAACAACTTACTTTTCTTGTCTCATCGACAAATATAACTTATTCTCATCTAATATACACATTACAATCTCATTCACAGGAGACAATCTAGCCTCATATTTTTCTGAGACAGAAGTTCCATCTCATATTGCCTACTGATCTCTCACAGATAACAATCTCGTCTCATCTCATCTCAAGATTATAGTTTCATCTGATCTAGTCAATAGATAACAATTGCATCTCATCTCATCCACAGATAACAATCTTCTAGATGCTCTCCCAGGCTTTCTGACAAAACTTCCCTGCTTGAAGACTGTGCATCGACATGGCAACCACAACTACTTTAAGTCCACCTTTATGTGGTACCACACAGATGTCAATTTGCGCATCATTGCAGTGCCCTGTGAGGCTCAGGTAACAACTGGGATAAGGAAAAACTTCTTGGCTGCTTCTTGTACATCAGAGTTCTCTCCCGTCTTCCTAGTGGTTTTGGACATTGTACCTAGAGTTTTATTACTTTTTTCCTTATGGTGTAGGAAATTTTACATAGTTTTATTCCTTTTTATTTTTGGTGTAAGATGTTTTATGTAGAGTTTTATTCCTTTTTTCATAATGTGTAGGATATTTTACAGAGAGTTTTATTAGGCAGTTTAGTGAACGCGCTCGCGGCAGGGCGAATCGGCCGCGGTACGCCCCGTAGATTTTTGTGACCGGCCGTGAAGCATCGCACTACGGTGGGTCTAAACAACTCACAGTTTTGTTTCGTTTTGCCAATTGCACTACCACTCCCGATACATCTTTTTAAACAGAAAAGAAATGACTTCAAAATGGCGGTCTTCGCGTGAAAATCGGTTCAGTAGAACTGGAAATATATGCATCTGAAAACAAGGCAGTTTTTACAACGCGATAAAATGAAAACTACTGGCTGTATATTTATGAATCTTTCAGAAGTTATAGATTATCCATTCTAGTTTCTTTTGACACTTGAGTTGTTTAGGTTGAACTTTGCACAACGCTACGGCGCTTCCCGTAAAAATGCATACAAAAAGCCAAAACGCCGAATCGGCCGGTCAGCGCCCCTCGCCCCGCTCTCCCCTGCACACTGATAACGTATTGCGCCGGCATCGCATTTATTCGCGCTTTACTTGTTTCTCCGGATAATAATAATATGTGTGGCTATGAAATTATGAACGGACTGACAAAAGAATTCACAGTTTTGCTTTTATTTTACCATATTTGGCTCTTGAATAGTGCAAATGATAGCTAAATCTAGATTCCCTTCTAGAATTCAGCAGTAGTAGGCTAGAAACAGTAAAAAAGCCAGCATATAGATCTAGCTATTTTTGCCCTTGGGCTTTGGAATTGAAATAAAGCTTGAATTGCACAGTTCTAATTGATGTTAGATTCAGCATCTAGCTATATATTCCAGAGTTAATAATAAATCTCATCATAACAATTGCTTTTATGAGACAGCCTTTTTCTCAAATCAGTTTTGCGCAAACTTACTAGTTAGTAGTATAGTAGTAGAGAACAGAGTTTATCTAAGCCTCTGCTCAGTCTTTCACTTTCAGTACCTAATAATTTAATGTTATTTTCTGGATATTTTTACATTTACATTATCAAATTGTGCCATTAAAAAAAATATAATTTATGGCCAATGAGTCTGACTCAATATTTAAAAAAAATTATGCTCATCAATAAAAATTGCTAGTTGATAATAACTCAAAATGTAATGAATAGTGAAGAAACATGTGTGAAAAAATAATAGAATGAGGTAGACTATAAATATAATTTGTCCAAAAAATTGCAAGTGCAACTTGTATGAAGATCATAAGATGACTTTGTTATTTTCTGGTCATCTTTCCGCAGTTTATTAAATGTTCCAGTGGGTCTACAACTAGGTCTCCGAAGAGCATTTTTCTTGAATTTATAAGCTCTTTTATGCACTTGAAAGCATAAAATAAAGCTTCACACAAATGTATGTTACAATACTTTGTAAAAGAAGGATAGGGAGCTGACTTATGACGGTCATTTAGAGGTGGGGTTTTTTTTTACGGAATCCGTTTTACGATTAGAAAAACACTAAAAATACGTTTTGAAATCTTAAGAATGGCCATAAAAATTGGAAATTATTACTTAATTGGCTTAACTCTTTAATAAATATGAACAGTGAAAAAAGACAAAGAGAATGATGTATGATTTGTCTAAATATGACCATTAGCAGCAAAGATATAGCCCATTTTGTCCATTTCGGGTTATCCTTGCGGGGGGATTTTTTATCACCCTGAACCTCTAGAAGTACCCAAAAAATATTTCTGTGACTTTGTAAAAAGGTGTTTTGTAGTTGTGTACATTCTGTGTAAAATTCCTAACAAACTGATGTACAACACTTTAAAAAATATGCATTTTGTGTTGAGTAATAGTCATTTGTGTTGAGTAATGGTCATTTGTGTTGAGTAATGGTCATTTGTGTTGTAAAGTTGCATTTTTGTGTCACAAAAACTCAGTGTTAAAAGTGGCCTGAAATTGGCCAGATTTTAGGCATGAGAGTTTTATTCCTTTTTCCTTACGGTATAGGATATTTTACCTAGAATTATACCTCACAGTTTTATTCCTCTTTCCTCTTGGTGTAGGATAGAGTGCTTTTACAAGTACAGTCGAACTTGCTCTAACTGCCACCTGTATTAGACGATCACCTGTAAGAATGGCCAATCAACAATAAATGGCCGACTTAAACAATTTCAGCCGTATTAAAGTTTTACACCTCATGTCAAGGGAGACATTTGAATATGAAAACAGGATCTTGACTGATTCATCAGGAGGATAATCCATGGCGACTCATAGTCAGGACTACAATGGGTAAAATGATCTCCCCTTACTTTGAAATGAATTGATGTGACTTCTGGGTGGGTTTATGACTTATGGCGAGCAAAGAGTGATTAACTAAGAGACTTTCCATTTTCACTCATCCAGTCATGAGTCTCAAGATATATGTCGATCTCATTGCTCCTGTCCGACACCTGTTCAAAAGATATAGCTTTCAATCTCTGACAAAGTTCCTTGCTCCAGAAGTTTTTGACCATCTAGCATAAGGCTATTGTCAGAATAAACTTAGATGTGTATTGCTCTTTAGAGTATGTATTTATACAACTCCAAAGGTCTTGTAATTAAATTCCTTCATATGGTTGAACGATGCATCTAATGTGATCTGTACATTTTGTTAGCTTTACTTCTCTTTTCATATTGAAATTAAATGAGAGTAATATATAAAATAAATTTTTATGGATACTTGCCTGTTTTTTACGGTCCTGTACAGCCAGGAAAAATTTCCCTCTTGGATAATAAAGTAGTATGTTATCTTATCTAATCTTATTATTTTTCTTGTTACAGGCCCACAAGAAACAGGAAAGTCTGCAGTTTTGGGCAGCTCAGAGCATCATCGGATCGAAGAGCAACTTTTTCGAAAGTGCTAGTGTAGCCCCTGTGCTCAAGGACTACATTGCAGAGATTTACAATCTGTTCAATATCTGCCATCACTGTGACAAAGCTCAGCTCACATCGGCTAATGGTATGTTGGGAGGTCTACAAGCATATGCTACCTTCTAGTGGTCGTGGGCCATATCGTCGGTCAACTGTTCAGATGTACTCAACTCAAAAATTGTGAAACATTTTTCTTGCAGTTTCTTAATCTGTGATATCATAAGCTCAAGAAATATTTTGTCAATTCAAATTCTAAATGTTGAAAAAAGACATGAAAAGATACATAATATAGGTACTATTGTTAAAAGAATGAAACACTTTTGCTCCTCTGAAAAATTTTTCTTTCTGGACTGAGAAGATCTGAACAGCTTGCTGATGATATGCTCATCGTTAGTCTGTATGTACAGCCTGCTCATGGTAGGTTGGGAGGTGTGCATGCATGCCCTTTCTGCTAGTGTCAGTTTGCATGGGTCATATACTGGTCATAAGTCTGTGTATACCATATATATATATGATAAATGGGGGTTCTTGTGGCATAGAGGTTAATGTGTTCGCCTCTCTTTTCATGACGAAAAAAATTTCGTCTTTAAAATTGTCTTCTCTAAAATAGTCTCCTTTCACCCCTTTTCCTGCTCTCTAGCCATATTCTGTCGTCTGCTTTCGTCTCCACTTTCTGCCCCCACCCCTCACCTCCTTTGCCCCATCCTCTCGGCTCCTGACTCTTTCTGCAGCCTTTCCACTGCTTCTCCTTGGCTCCTTCTTACTGCTGTCTTTCAGCCACATGCCTGATCTTCTGGTAGCCTTCTCGGACAAGGGCGAAATGTCTCAGAAGTCCCGTGGGCAAGTTGCGCACGTTAAAGATCCCTCGGTGGTCCAAAATCGATAAGAGTAGGCTTCTGCCGCCACCCGGGCAAAATCCAAAATTTTCTACCAACTGAAAATGTTGGGCGTGTCCCGCGCGCTCACATGACCTTATGCAGTTGCGAGCGTCATAAAACACTTTCCAAAAAACACATTTAAAAAAATATAATACAGTGGAACTTGGATTCAACGAGGTAGCCGGGCCGGACCTAAAATCTTGTTGAATCCGAGTGTTCATTATAGCAAACACAAGGTTTTGTGTAGATAATTACGGGCTCTGAGCAAGTAATGTATAAGGAGAAGTCACAAGTAGGGCCTAAAATGCCCGCATATTATGAGCTGTGTAATAAAAAAAGACCGATTCGTTCAAATGCACTCGCCTGTGTCATCTCGATTGTTTACCAAAAAGTTAATTTGATGTGCAGAGCCTAGCATACGGCAACTTTTGATTCCATAGACCAGCGCACAATTCATTACGTAGATCTACGTAAAGACTAGCTTATCATTGTAATAAGGGTCAGTTGCCGAGGGGGAAAAAAGGCTGTGACGCATTTGTATCTGCGACATTCGACGCCCGGACCGCTAGTGCCCACCCCCCTTCCCAACATGCACACACAGTCACACGTGTGCAGGCCACCTATCCGACCCCGACACACGCCAGAGTATACACATGTGCGTGCCAACAACACATGTGTTGGAATGAAAAAAGGCCGCTGATTGGTCGCATGCAATCGGCTAATTGAATGAATAATGGTTCACGATGCAGGTGCAATGGATGGTTTCCGGGAATAGATAAAGTTCGTTCTGGTAGAAAAATGAGCGAAGCCACTTCTGCGGGGCTGTTCACCCTGAAGCGACCTCGTTGAATCCGAGCTCGCTGATTTAAGTGCTCGTTGAATCCGGGTTATTGTTATTGATTTTAAAGAAGAAAAAAGAACAGGGAATCTATCTCATCTCGTGCGTTGAATCCAAGCTTGTTAAATCCGAGTTCCGTTGTAAATGTTTGTTTCATCTATTATTGTTAAGTCTGGTATACTGTCTCTTCTAATGGTAAACCTGTGGTTACTGATTGCTAATGGTCATTCTGAGGGTACTATCTGTTAAGTCTGTTAATAGTAAGTCTGTTTTGTCTGCTTAACACTTTGCTGTCACTTGAAACGCCTGGCCCGAGAAGTCCGTTGCAGTCGCTTTCCTGACTGGGTGACCAGATGGGGTATTTGTACTTCTGGCTGTGTTACTGCAAAGTGTTAAAATAAGTATGTGTGTACTATTAATTTATATATATACTGTCTGGAAATGTCTCTGTCATTTGTTAATGGCAAGTCTGCAAGTGCTGTCTTGTCATGTAAAGTCTGGTGCTGTCTGCTAATAATAGATCTTTGTGCATCATCTACTAATGGTAATTCTATCATGGTAACTGCCGGGCCCTAGGAATTACCAGAGAATTTGAATAAAAGTTCTAAGCCTTCGTGAAGATACAGGAGTTCAAGGTTATAGTTAATTTTACCAGAGGAAAGCGAGAAAATATGTTTTGTTCAGTGAACTACACATAAACAAGGTCTTGTGTGATTAACAAGTCCTGGATGTCTAGAATTCACGTTACTGGAGGTGAAGACAGAGGGGATGGATCTAGTTTCAATTTCGTCTTGCAGTGAGCCTCTAGCCAAGGGATATTATGTTTCGGGAAGTTGTCATTGTTTTTGTGTTCACCTGCCATATCTTCATCATAGCCAAATACGTAAATTCTTTGAAATTTGGGGTGTGATACATGTGTATATAGAGTGCTAGTGATTTAAAATGAGTATGTGTCACCTTTTCTTTCTGTACAGGCTACAAAGTGATCACCTTCAAGAATCCCTACTTAGGCAACACATGTGTCCCGTTCCAGCATTGGGCTTGTTCGCTTGAATGTGCGCGTGCTGTGGAGATCCCAGCCAGGAAGGAGCAAATCTCAGCAGCACGTCAGCTGGATCAGCAGTATGAAGACTACATCAAGGAGTGCATGCGAAAGTTCACTTCCTGTCGCAGTCCTCGCCACTTTCTATCCTTTGGATCTCGTGAATCAACCGAGCCTCGACGGGCTTCCTGGAGAGCCGGAGATGTGATGGAAGGACAGAGGAAAGAAGTTAGTCGCAGAAGGAGGAGACGGGACCGAGAGAAGAACAAAATTGTCCCTCCATCAGATTCCTCAAGGACAAACTGTGGATGTGTTCTGTCTTGACAAATGTGTCCTGTGTCTTGACCGATGTGTCTACCAGCTTTCCAAAAAGTGTCATACAGTTGTTGGCCAATGTACCAATCACAGTGGTAGGCTGACCATTGAGACAGTGAAACTAGTCCTTGCTCCATGTCTCTCAATGTTCTGCCATTTTTTCTGTGATAGATAAATCTTCTGACATGGAATAAATGAGCCTTGTATCCCACATCTGATATGGGATAATGAGCCTTGCATCCCACATCTAATGTGGAATAATGAGCCTTGTGTCCCATATCTGATGTGGGATAATGAACCTTGTGTCCTACATCTGATGTGGGGATAATGGGCCTTGCAACTCTCATCTAATGTGGGATAATGAGCCTTGTGTCCCACATCTAATGTAGGATAATGAGCCTTGTGTCCTACATCTAATGTAGGATAGCTTAGACTTGTATCCCACATCTAACATGTGACAGATAAGCCTCATGTCCCGTGCGCAGCTTGGGACCTCTCACCCTAAGACTTACACCGGCGGCAATGTTAGTAAATATGCATTCATATATAAACCTATGAGTGCAAAATGACTCAACATACCTCTACAAATCCTCATACAGATGTGGACATACTAATGTACTTATTTATACTTGTACAAAGTTGCACTCACCTACCCGTACTTACATACACTCCAGTGTATTGTCTGCAAGCTGTAAAAATGTACTTAGCTCAGAATGCAAAATTTTACAGGAGAGGAATAAAACAGTTTCATACTTTTAACAATTGCACCTACATTATGATTTTTTCCCCTTGGATTTATCATTTAGAATTTAAATTTCAACAAACTGTTTCTCAAGCAAATAAAACCAATACTACAGACTTTTAAAAAGATATTAAGAATTTGGGCTTACTACATTTTAACAGCTGTCTGAGGATATATACACTCACACACATTTTCACTGGTACTTGTTTATCAACACACGGACAGACTTTCTTTATTAGTGGCCTTGTCTGTGTGATGATGTGTTACTGATGAGGTGCTGACTGACAGTTGAGCTCAAATCAAACCATATTGTGCAATGAAGGTAGTATATATAGAGAATGCAGTGGAGCAAGCTGGACTGAAAAATTTAGCCTCACTCCCTCATTTCTGTATTTGAGATCCTGGTCACTATGTTGTCCTGTTTTATTATAAATTGAACACTTGTGTGATGTCAGTGTGGAGAAAAAGTGGAACTGGCCCATCATGCTACCTAGTGTAATAGGCCTACCTGCTGTTATTGATCCTTAGCATATATGTCTGGAGAAGGGGCCCAGTTGTTGGAAATGTTGGATATTGAAAAAAGTGCATATTTTTGGAGCAAATCAATGAACACGGTCATATCTTGAGCGCTTTCAAAGATATGTCACATTTTGTAACACAGGGTGTATGTAACAACAAAGTTTGAAGAAAATCCCAATTTCTAGCACATTTTTAACCTTTGGTGAAGTACAGATGTTGCAACAATGACTATTTTAAAAATATTTACACTTAAACTGTTTGTTTGTTTTTGGGTTTTTTTTGGGGGGGGGGGGGTTGCTCAAAAATAGCTTTGCCAACAAATGGGACCTTTCTCCAGGCACACACACATATGAGAACACTCATAGCCTTTTGTATTAAATTAAGGAGGTTGTGAAATTCAGTGAAAGAGATATAATCAGTGATATTTCCATTCATGTTTCTCATGCAGTTGAACTGCAATTTCAAAGGGTGTCTTTCTAAACACAGCTAAGAGTATAGCTTTTACTTAAAAAAATTTTTGCGTCTGGTCTGGCCCGGCCCATGGCTGGCACGGACTCTCCTGTCCCTCTTTGTTGCTGTAACAGTGGGGAGTTTTCCTCACATTTGAGTCATGGCTCACTGATGAGCTGTTCATAGACTGCCTTGTTTTGAGCGCTTTTTCATTCTTATACTTATTCTAGGAGCAGGTTGTGATTAGTCAATTGTTGTACATCATGGGTGTAGGTTATGGTTGATCAGTTATAGGCATGCCTTGTGATTCACTAACATTTTACATGGTTGAAGAGTTTTAGCCTTAAAACAACTTAAAGCATAGTTTGCACTGTTTGCTTGTTGATTGGCCTTGAATACCTTTCTGTGGTCAATTGACTGGTTGGACAATGATGTCGTCAATGCTTTAGAATGCAAGTTTGATGACTGAAGTAGGAGAGATGGGAATGGTGACTGAGATTATGAGATGGGAACGATGAGTGAGATGTCAGAATATGAGACAGGAATGATGAGTGAGGTATCTAAGAATGAGATGGGAATGATGACCAAGATTATGAGATGGGAATGATGACTGACTGAAATGTCAGAATACGAGATGGGAATGACTGAAATATCTGAGAATAAGATGGGAATGGTGACTGACTGAAATGTCAGAATATTAGATGGGAATGACAGATCTGAGAACATGATGGGAATGATGACCGACTGAAATATCAGAATATGAGATGGGAATGACTGAGATATCTGAGAATAAGATGGCAATGATGACTGAGATTATGAGATGGGAATGATGAGTAAGGTATCTGGGATGGGATTGATGACTGAAGTACCGTGTCTGGGATGTGTTTTAATTTTATGGCTAGAATGATGCACCAGGTGTATGAGATGGGAATGGGCGAGGTGTCTGAGAAGGGAATGATGCCTGTAAATGTGAGACTGGAGCACTTGTGAACTGTAATGCTGGGAGAAATAAACTCTCTCAATACAATCTGTCTCATACATCTAGGGGAAAGAGCCAGGGTTACTGAAAAGTTTTGCTTGTGCCAAAAGATATTTTTTGAATGGATTGTCTTTCAAGTAGGGTTGTCATCATTGAATGTAAATATTCTGGTCAGGTTGAATTCTCATTGGTTGTAAATATTTGAGTATGGTTGGGTTGTCTATTTAGCGTAATTTGTATTATGTATCGTGGCGAAGTTGGCTTCAGCATGTGCCATGCAAGCATGTGATCAAGCAAGTGTTGCGAGGGAGAAGGAAGTTTTCAGTTCTGTGTAAATTTGAATGCATGTTTGTGTGATGTAGTTTGCCGTGGCAGCTGCAGTGCTTGATGAGAGTGGGGAAATCTCTCAGCATCCGTTTGTCCTGTGGACTTGACATAGGTTTGGATCGACTCTGCACCACTAGTTGGGGTTTTGGTGTGCCAAGACGAGGGCTGTGTGATCACACACATTCATATTTACATGTCTATGGCCCCTGGTGGTGGTTAAGCAAACACTGAGAGGTGCACCCAGTCGTTTTGTGCTGCCTCAACTTCCCCAGAGAGAGATTGAGAGAGATATATGAAATGTTATGACAGAGATCTTTCATTTGAAGAGATGAAATGCGAGGCTTCGTGGTGAAATCAGGCGCTTGGCAAAGTAATGAAATCTGAGAAATCGGCATTTTTCTGCCAGTTTCGAAATTTTTGTTTTTTGGTTCAACGCCTTGTACGTCAATTCAAAAACACTTTCATGTGTGGATTTTTATGGAAAAAATGTTGATTAAAGGCACAAAAAAAAGTACGTTTGCAGTTTCCAAGGACTCTTAATTAAGCAATGGAAGTCACCAAACTTTGGCGGCCATTTTCTGGCTAATTTTACTTCTAAAACCTGACAATCCCCTCCTCCTTGAATCGCAAATATCTCGACTTCCATTCAAGATAAATGGATATTTTTTTCATCAAAAGCTATGCAAATGAATAACCTTTAAGATTATGCCAAAAACTTCATATGCCCAAAAATTGACAAGCACCTGATTCCACTGCGTCGCGCCACAAATATTTTGTTTGCAGAAATGAAAAGTTGTGATATATGTAGAAGTGAAATGGTTTTTGAGAAAAGACATTTGAATCTATTGTATTCCGAATGAAAGTAATGCCAAGTCATATAAGAATAAAACCTGAATAACATTTCGGCTTTGGAAAACATTTGTTTGTAAATTAAACAAACCATCATTCAGGATAGTCCTGCCCTCACGTGACATCTTTGTCTATCACATACATTATCATGTCTTGTGCAACAACATGACTCTCTCATCATGCCTTTGCCTTACAATATGGCGTCTTTTTTGCTACACCACAGCTGCTATTATGACTTTGTCACTGCTGGAGGTCAAAGGCATTCCAAGTGTGCTCTACCCCTTCTGGTTTTTACTAATCTGTTTCCTTGTGAAATGTGGCTGTCCTGGTGCTTACTGGTGGTCCTGTACTACAACTTCACCACACAGACATGACACAGTCTGTTCTATAGAAAGGTCTGGAGGAAGTGAGGGGAATTGCTTCGTTTTGTGAAATGCGGTAGTGGCTCTATGTTCCTCTCACAACAAACCTGAGATGATACAGCGCCAGGCAGCTCAAAATTGGTTAGATTTAGTGTCATGGCATCTGCTACACAAATAGGGTTTTAAAAGTGCCAGGGATTAAAAGGGTTACTAGAGAAATATACAAAGAAAAGGAGGAAAGTAAAGAACGGCAGATATTTGATAGGAAAGTACGAGCAAATCACACCAGAGCACCCGCCAACCACCCATCAGAAAATGGCTATAATGTTCACTCAGACACATTATTAAAGACAAAATCATGAAAAAACGTGATTTGTTTTGTAATCACTGTCATTTATTGATCGTCAGTAAATAAATAATATCTATGTGGTTTGTACATACCATCCCCGCAAAGCAAATAAGACCGTAAAACAAACCAAAAAACTGCCTAAGTACACTTGGGCAGTTTCATTTACATGACGTGATCTACACCAGAATAAGTTTACACATCTTTGAAAGCTAAGAAATCTCCCGACGATGTATGAAGTATTGCATCCTTTACAATCACATGGGGGGAACTGTCCTCCCCCTGAGGAAAAACTACCAGTCTTTCAGCCCATATTTCACTCACAGATACATAGCTCGTTCAGTGTCATTCAAATAATGCCAGGATGATAGAATTTGTGTGCTGCCAGTGTTGGATCCCCCATACAAGTCAAGTAGCACACAGCAGCCTGAAGCAAGATGCGCACACACCACACATGCCACGAGGGCAGATGCTACATGGTACACTGCCCCCGCATTGGTACTTGTCATTATCCCTCACAAGTTCCAACACCTATGGATTTGTACAAGATCCTAAGTGCTATGTCAATGAATTTGACCAAGGTATTAGTTTTATACACTGTGCTTGAATTCCTGGCCCTAACACTTAAACATTTCAGATGAAATCCTGTCTCTTCCCACACCCTCACAATAAACAAAAACAGGCATCACACACACGCAAAGAAACAAGCACAAACGCACAGACACAACCCTGGTCCCTTGTGCCTTCTGTAAGTCAAGATACAATTATACATGGTGTGCCATGGAGAGCAGACCTACAGCTATCTTGGTGCGTGGACATTGAGTCAACAACCTTCGAGTAGTCCTTTATTAGTTAGTCAACACATTTTGAGTAGATATCTGTGCTGTCGGTTCTAAGCCCTGCCCATAGACCAGTGACCTCCCCTCCCCTATGGACCGAGGTCAGCTGTTTCCCAAGACATCCTTGAGGATTGCACTCTCCCCCGCACTATGAGTGAGCGGTGCGAAGAGTGGCGAGGTTGCGGGCCCCTCAGGCGACATGAGTAGATGGGAGGAGGACATGCTGCTGGACGCTGCTCGTGGGCCTTCATGGGTCACATGACGTGGAGCCATGAAAGGGTTGAAGTTCGGTGGCTTGTGCCGGTGCTGGGTCTCGGCCGCCATTGCCTCGGCAGGAAGTCGCACGGGAGACGGAGGTGGGGAGGACTCTCGCTCCAGGAACTTGACAAATAACTGTGAGAAAGACTGAACACAGAAACACAGGCATGAGGGAGGGAGACAATGATGTCCGAGTCAGAGGAAAGTGAAGTACATCAGCACGATATAATGGTTATTTAGGGCTAGGTTGGGGAGATGCAAAACAGACAGGGTACTAAAAAGTGGTGACATTTTAGCAGACTTAAAACAACAATGTTAAAAACGTTTATTTAAACGTCTCTCCAATTGATTATGAGCTTTGTTCTCATTATTATTCGCATGTCCAGTTTTGAAAGTTCATAATTTTTCTTCAGCATCTGCAAGTCTGTAAGGAACAATACTAGAAAAAAAAGGATACATATTATATTTTAAGACATGAAAACAGACTTCTAAACCCAGACTCTCAAACATCTAATACGTTTTTTTAAATACGGGTTGGCAGCTATGAATTCACTTTTGGTATACCTGATTGGAAGGACCAGAGGCTGGAGAGTTTGCTGAGGGACGTCGGAAGATTGTAGACAAAAGACCTCCATGGCCATGGGCTGACTCGATCTGGACGGAGAAGGAAAGAGAGATTAAAGATCTTTATAACTCACAGGACACAGAGACCCCAAAAATATATCACAAGATTGACAAATATACAAACCATGTGTATGCCCATAGAGGACACAATGCATGAACGTATTCAAACACAACATTACTACATGTATTAATGTATATGTCGATGTTTGTTGTATTCACAGAAAAAGAGACTAATATAGTCATACAAAAAACACCCAGGACATTAACTTCATTACCGTAAGCCCCTCGCTATATAAGCTAGATATTCTCCAAAAGCATTGTATATAGTGGCTTCCAAAACAATAAATTTTAAAAAATACTGCCTATGAACTGAACGTAAATTATACATATGGTTGTGAGCTAAATGTTCCCACATTACGTTGTAAACACCATGGTTGTGGAATAGTCACAACCACTCACATTACACATTTCTTATTCCCCCAAGGTGCTCAGATTCAGATTGTCTACCTTTTTAAAGTCATCCTGGCTGAAGCTGAGCACGCTACCGATGAGCTGCACAATCTCTGACCGTTTGTTCTCGGGTGAAGTCAGCCATGTCATCACGATATTATGCATGAGAACCCTGAAGAACAGACACACACACACCATGTAGCAACATAGCAACTACACAACATAGCAAAAGACACAGACACACCCACTACAAATATCACATCTTGCAAATACCCCCCACAAATTAATGTCCAACATCACATCCTGACATATACATACACATAAACTTAAAAACATGTGCTTGTATAAATATACTCCAGTATGTAGTAACAGTCTCTCTCTCTCTCTCTCTCTCTCTCTCTCTCTCTCACACACACTCACACACACACACACATGACATATACACACAATAATTATCAATATACCCTGCTAGCATCCATTTTAACCATGAAATACAAACATGTAGACATACAAGTGAAGCACAATATGATTTATATCCAAATGCATAGTGCACCACACACAAGTGTGTTTATGTGGTTTGGGTTTATATGGATGGAAGAGTTGGGGGGAAGGGGAGAAAGACGGAGGGAAGGGGAATGATAGAGATAGAGAAAGACTCACTTGTCAACCTTGGCCTCAGTGCTAGAGGTCAGCTTGTGAATCTCTTCTTCCGCAGCACTCAGAGCATTCTCCCGGAGCAGGACTGAGAAGACACAAAGAGAACTATGGTTAGTTTAAGTTTTCAAAGTTTTCATAAGAATTTTACAGCACTTGCAACACAATAAGGTCATATAAGTGCCCAAGATTAGAGGTGTTACTAGAGAGTAACACAAAGAAATGGGAGGAGAGATAATGATGATAGGTGTTTGATAAGAAAGAAGGAGCAAATCACACCAAAGCACCCGCCAATCACCCACACTATGGTTGGTATATGTGCATACTTTACTAAATAGACCTATACTAAAAATACTATACAAAATAAAACCCCATTCAAGCAATTTCTGCCAGTAATTAACCCTCCAACTCCCTACCAGGTGTCATTCTCACCACTCTCAGTGGCCTGCGGGAGTCCATGCACACGACCACAAACACACACACACAAACGTATTATACAAACTCTAACGACCCAACAGGCAGGGGTCTGTAGTGAGTGGGATTTGGTGGCCAACACGTGGAGAAAGCATGCAGTTTTGGGTCGTCCAGATGAGAATATCACATTAGGTACTGACCTCATTCACTCAGTACCTGAAGTAATACTCACACCTACACAACCGTCACGGTCACCGGCCGACACTACGGGGGAGGGAGTTACACATGTCCAGTCTTAAATATCCACGCCTACACACACAAGTCTTGCATAATGTGCACACAGTCCCATATGCATAACAACAAGAACAACAACAACACATGCACATGCACATACAACAGTTGTGCTGTAGCAGCGACAATCCTCCAAAAGGGGCGATGGGCAAACAGCAAAATGCACATCATGCAGGTCAAGCCAGGCGCCACATACACAAACTACACAAAGTACATTGAAGACATCAAACAAAAACCTGACACAAAACTAGGGAGAAGGAAACCACGACCAAGCCAAATACAATGAGCGTACACAGGTAGGCACAGAGAGCAGGAGACGAGGAGGTTGTGTGTGTGTGTGTTTGTGTGTGACAGTGAGAGAGATATTCAAGCAGGTAGTCAGTTAGACAGAAGAACAAAAAAAAAAAGTGACACAGGGAGAGAAGCCAGAAAGAGAATACAGAGGGCACAAAGATAGAGAGATAAAACAGACAGAGGATAGCCAGACAAACAGAGACACAGACAGCGAGCAGTAAGCATTGCATGCAGCGAGTGCTAGGTAGTTGTATAACCTCGGCTGGTAACTTGAGGGTTGCCGAGAGTCACTCAGAATTACCAGCTGAGATTAGACAAACGCCCACACACACAGGGGAGGGGTAGACAAGGGGTGGTGAGGCAGCATATAGCACCATGCCAAAGGTAAAGCCACAATGCACACTGTTCAAGCCACAACACCAACAGACATACCGTTCCAGCCA